GATCGGCTACGGTTCGGTGGGGCTCGCCTACAGTTCGGTGGGGCTCGCCTACGGTTTGGTGGGGCTCGGTGGGGCTCGCCTACAGTTCGGTGTGGCTCGCCTACGGTTCGGTAGGGCTCGTTTACAGTTCGGTGGGGCTCGCCTACGGTTCGGTGGGGCTCGCCTACGGTTCGGTCGGGCTCGCCTACACTTCGTTGGGGCTCGCCTACAGTTCTGCCGACACTCAATGGACGCCGTATCGAGCGGCGGCGCCTCTGAAAGATAATTTACCACTAGAGGCGCCGGCCAGCTGAATAATGAGGGCGTCCAGTCGTCCGTCTCCAGAGCTGCCTCCTCAGGCCGGAAGGGCGGCAGGAAGCTCGTCACAGGGTAACGGGGCCTGTCCGCCCCGCCCGACCCTTGCCGATGATCCGGCCCGCAGCAGTGCTCCCCTTTGCACTCTGGCGTAGCGAAGAAAGAACAGAACAAATGCCTTCCTTCTCCCGTATAGCAAATAACGCATGGCGTGGTGTTCATCAGCGATGCATTCACTTGATCTCCGGCAAGACACCCAGCTGGCCCTCCTCGGCCGCGAGCTTGGCATTCGTCTGTGCCTCGTGACACGCAGGCACCTCATCGTGGTCCGCTCCCACTCGACAGAAGGAGTAAGTAGATATTTCTGCGCAGCCCAAGAGAGCAGCGATTCATGGTACACCTGTGCGCTGCGTGTGACTCGAACTGAGCAGCGTGGGACATGTCGGCTGTGCTTTTTAGGCCCGGCGGAATGTCGAATCAACATATTCCTCCATACTATCAGAGCAGGCAGTCGGGACCTTCAGCTCACCTTCTGTGACTGAACCAGAACACCCCTCCATACAATGACAGTCAAATCCTTCCAGTGGAGACCGCTTCAACCTACAGTGACCAAGAGGTCCTGCTCCGCCGCAGCGCGGCCGGCGCCGGGAGGGGTGTGCGCGGGCGGCGCGCCGTCGGCGCTCCCCTCCGGCCGGCCGGAGTGATGGTCGGCCCGTCGGATGCCACTCCATCTTCGTCGGGCGCCGATGAGGGCTGCCCGTTGGCCGGTTAGTCGGCGAGGTTTGCGGCAGAGGCTGTGCGCCTTCGGGGGGACGGAGCCTGGGCGCCTGCACAACATAACACCGCCCTTCACGACAGAAACGCGCAAACGCCCTCGCTTTGACGGCTTTCTGAGGACGCAGGGTAGGCGCTCCACAGGCCGGTGCCTTTCCATCCATCAGCCAGAACATCAGCCCTGACAACATGGCCCTCCGCTCGTAGTGCAAATGCCAGTGATCGGCCTCCACAAAAGCCGCAGGGTCAGCATCGGCCCGTCTATGCCTAGACGCCGTCCATCTCTCGCCATCTGTTCAGTCCTATCACTTCAGCCAGCCTCAGCCAGCCTTGGATAAGTCACGGCTCGGCAGCCGCCGGCGCGGCAGCTCGCACTCAGCTCCCCCGCTATAGCGCCGTGTTCGGAAGCAGTGGGGCAGTGACGGTAGCGGTACGGATGGCCACCGTGTGCTGCGCAGGAATGGGGCGCATGGTCACATGGCGTGATCACACGACACACCACAGCTATCGCGCATCCGCGTCAAGGCTCCGTTCATAAACTAGCGTAAACAATGGCAGATTGAAAACCTGCGCAGAGCACAGGGCTTGCGAGAGTTTCCTACAGCTGATATTCTCTCATCTCTATCAGTTTACGAGTAAGATCAAATAAGATCGAGTAAGATCGAGTAAGATCGAAGGCCGAGTGACTCGCTCGAATTATGAGTAAAATGTCACGTCTGAGTCTCCCGGCCCAGCCCGGTCCAACGGTGACGCTTTCTGGAAAACAATATCTTAGCGACTTTAAATCGCAGGTCCGTGCAGTTTCAACACCAAGAAACGCCTTTTCACTTTATCATGCACAGCTTACTGTGCATTTGCATGCACGTTGCCTGATCAGGCGGAGTTGTCCAACAACATTGCAATATCACAATGGCTTTACCTCTCAGGAAAACGAGAAATTTCCAGACAAGAGGAAGAGCCGGAGAGCAAAGGAAGAAACCGGGTCCAGGTCTAAGCCACCGGGCGTTCTGACTCGGCGTTAACCGACCGTGACGAAAGAGAAGACGGACAGTCATCTCAGCCAATATGTGGGCTGACGCGTGCAGACCGCAGACACTATCGCGTGCAAACCACGGACCAGCCGGAGTTATCTCAGCCAATATGTGCGCCGACGCGTGCAGACCGCAGACACTATCGCGTGCAAACCACGGACCAGCCGGTTTTGAGGGATTTTTAGGGATTTTTTTGGGCAATTTTCGAGATTTACGTCCGATCTCAGCAATCAGAGCAGCTGAAGGTCCGGAGTCGTCTGCGCTGTGTGGGCGAATGGACCGGCCGCAACTCACTACCAGGGTCGCGCTCCCCATGGGCAGAGAGAGTCGCTAACTGTGATGTCGCAAGTGCCTACATCATACAGAAACGACTATTCTCCAAGCCGAAGGAACTGCTGTGACGTATTTGCCTACGACGTTATAGGTTTCAAGCATGGACGGCGTTTGGTTGAGGGGAGCGCAGCCCAGGTGTCAAAATTGTCTAAAGAGCGCGGAGGTGTGCCAACAACTGATCGGGAAGTGGCCCTTCTTCGACATGGGTGTAGCCCCGACTCTGAGATTGAGGGATAAATCAGGATTGGGGGAGGGGGGAAGGGGGCAAACTGGAATCTGGAGGATGCAGCCTAACCTGAAACTGACATTTGGAAAGAGTAAACGTAAAAAACATGGATCCTACGGACACAATGGGAGGGGAAAAATGTATTTCGGAAAAATAGAAAGGGGTCAAAATACCCGATCTAGCCCCCCCCCCCCCCCCCCCCCAGTGCTCACATTACAGCCATATTCTTCGAAACCCATATCAGACACAAGACACTATGACCCAAGCCGAAAACTGCGGCCAACGCCCATCCAAAATATCCTCGCAGTTATAATGTTTCGGTCGCAGCTGTCCGAAAGTTACCGTGAAAGGTACCATGTGGTGCACAGATCAAAACCCATTCACATGAGTTGCTTCAGGAGTAGCTACATAACTTCGGACATGTCTTACGAACATGCGAAAACACGTATGAACATGTGTTGCGAAGCCAGCCCGGCAAACCCCTCCCCCCCCCCCCCCCCCCATCCGCGAGAGCAGGTGGCCGCGGGCGCGGCTGCACGCTCTACAGTGCAGGGGACGTCGAGGCTGTCCCTCTCCGTGGCCCGCGAGCGAGGCAGGCCGACCGGGGACGGCCTGCACGAGATGGGGAGTTTCGAGGATTGGCGATAGGACGGGGCCGAGCGCACCGGCGGCCGCTGCTGGGTATAACCAAATGCCGGTATCCAACACTCACTCAGTCCTTTCTTGTTTGGCATCAAGGCAGTCCGGTCATGCCACTGCCACTGTCGACTGTCGACCAGCACGGTCAAGAACAAAGCACAGAGCGATTCGGCGATCGCGGTGTGGCGCAGACGGGCACAAAGATACAGCTTCAAACACTTCATTCGCCCGCTACCCGCGCCCCATCTCCCCAGCCATTATGGCTACTGACGCCATCGTATCGGGGGAAGAACGGCGGCCGGCGCCGCAGAAGGGCCCGCCATGCTTGAGGCCAGTGATTAGGTGGGGTACGCTGCGCCGACTTTATTGCCCCGGAAAGTTTAATCAAACCGAGTTGTTGACTCAGCTTGCTCTATGCCAAATCCCTCACGCGCTTTAGGAGCGTGCCTTTTCAGGAGCCCAGCGCCAAAGCAAATAACGCTAGTAGTAGACAAGATAGCGTCAGCCGATACCGCAGGATACGCGGGCTACACGGCCGCTATCTGGACTACGTCTGCGCTGCCAATATACCTACGCGCGGCATCCAGTTACGTGGAACGTGTTTATCTGTCACTCCCCAGCCACGTCACTTACTTGCATTGGCGTAAGAGGCTTCCCTGTACTTCTGCGCCTTCGTCACACCCTAAACACGTGTCCGGTCCTACCTGACGCTGTTGCTAAAAGATCTCACAGCGACCGCCTCGTGTCCACAGGTCAACACCACCCGCTTCGCACGTTTCCACGCGGCGCACGCCCAGCCCCAGCCCGCATACGTCAAAGGACGCCCGAGGCTTCAGCGCCACGCCGAGTCAGCGGAAGAGTCGGGCGGCCGCTCACTGCGAACACGCCGCTGTGAGGTCTACGCGTCCGTCACCGGCAGCTGACAGTGCACGGCGCGCGAACCAGCCGCACAGGTGTAGTGTAAACAGAGCGGGCGGCGCCCGGCTGTGGTGGCGGCCACGGCCACCGGACACAACGCATCACCGGCGCCGTGAAACAGCCCAGCCGCGTCTCCGCCGTGATTGCAGGGGGCGTCGCCGTCGGCGCGGCAGCGGGAGGCGCGGTTAGCACCTCGTCCATGTAGGAACACCGGCCATGAGGAGCGATATCTTGGCACGCAGTCTGACGACCATGTAAATTTAGTACAAAGGGACCTGGACTTTGCGTCGGAACAGCGCACATGTATACAGCGACCGAAGTCGATTGGGCGCTGAAACAGAGTGCCGACACCCGCTGGCTGGGCGGCCAATCGACGGTGCGGCGAGGCGTGACGCGATAGGGGACGTGACGTGAGGAGGGCAATGGAGCCGAGCCTACCGCTGGACACGCTTCAACCGAAAAGTCAGCACAAACATCACGAGTATCTAATCAGTACTTAAAAAGCATTGACTGGCTTACGTCACGCGGGATACCGGCCCATGGCGTTACAAACATCTGTTGGGACAAGGCTTGGTAGAGGAGCCTGAAGAAGTGCAGCCAAATCGCTTGGCGAGATCAGCAAGCCAGCGCGCCTTATGCTGCGTCGGCTCAAATCACTCCTGCAATTATGTCCGCACTACGGGGCTCAGCAGCCTCACCATAGCGTTCCACGCCCCGCCGGCCCTCGGGGCAAACCAGCTGAGCCAGGCGCCGGCCGGAGGGCGCCGCGCCGCCACTGCACTCACCAGATGGCATGCAGGATGAAGAAGAAGGCGCCGGGCACCACCAAGTCATCGCTGCCGATGCCCCACCGGCGGCGGAACGCCACCAGGCCCGGCATCGGGCCACCCCAGTCGCCGGCGCGCCACTGGCCGGCCGGCTGGCCGCTCCCGGGCCGACGGCGCCGGCGATCGATGCGCGCCTCACTCCGCTGCGACATCTGGTGCCGGCAGGCGACACATGTAGTTCGCTCAGCCACCCGCTAGGTGACTGGCGCAGGCTGTGCGGCGCGGCGCGGTGCGATGGGGGCAGTGCGCTGGCGGATTCCGACAAAATGAGTATGAAATAAATTTGAGGGAATAGATGCTGGGCGTGCTTGTTTCTGAGCACAACATAGAAAAGCTAGATATCATTCATTAGTTGCTAACTGCCCGTACGAACGTCCATCCGTCGCTCGCACACCCACCAAATGGTCGCTTTTTACATCTCAAGGAAAGAGAAGAGTTCCTGTAAAAACCAGCGTATCTGACAACGTGCCAATTTTACCAAACCTATAATTGCTCGGCATCAGCAGTGGATTCAAAGTAGGTGTTGGGGACCGGGTTCAAATTCAGAACAGGTATCATCTGGGGTATGCCTGTATGATGCTTCTTCTGCAAAACAGTGATAGCACGTTATAAAATGCTCGACTGGTTGCCAGGGTCAACACAAGTTTCAGTAAAAAAGGCAAATCATCGTGCGTTCGCGACCCGCAGGTATACCACAAACAATAACACAGAGTGGCTACTTGTGTAATGCAAGGCGATGAAACAATAATAGCCAACAACCGGTGTTGGTAATGAGGAACACTTGTATTGGACTCATATAACCATATTTTTACTTCAAAAATGTTCAAATTATGTGTATCTTTGCTTTTGTATATAACTCATTACTTGGCATGAAAGCCTTTTTGAAAATGATGTAGGATTGAAGACGCCGCTAGGGGTACCACAATAATTGTCAGCTTGAACAGCTCCCTGTCAGTTTAACAGGATCGGACGTTTGTGGGGGAGGGACGGAGCAGTGGGAGGTGGCGGTGGTCGGGGCAATTGGTAGAGTGCCGACAGAGCTTCCCATATTTTCCATAGCTTTCCAGCATTGAAGTGGCAAGTCTCTGTAAAGCGATGGCGCAAGCCAAAGTTTCGGTGAGGGCAGGGAAATCTGGGGGCTGATTGCCGAACAATGGCGAGACTGTGATAAACTCTGCGCAGCAGAACTCCACGGGGACGTTTTGCCATATCAGCTGTTCTTTGCATAATACAAACTTTTAGGTGCAAGATAGTGTTGTATTTATAGATCCTTGTAGTGTTGAAAACATAAATGCTTGTTTGTCCCACTTCCCTTTGTGGTCCTCATAGCAATGAAGTTTGCTGGCATGTGGAATGCACAAAAGTGTCCCATGGGTTCATTCATTTTCTTTAGTGCTACGCTTTAATATATCCACATTATGCCCACTTCCAGATGGATTGCATTTTGCTCAGTTAGGGTCTTAAGTGCATCACCTGCTGGCACAATGTTCTGGTACTCAGCAATTGTCTACAGTAAGTATATAAAATGCATTTTCATAACATGTGATTGTAGCCATGTCTATAACCAGTGCATTTTATTAAAAGTTGAAGGCAATTATGTATGCCTGAGGTGTGTGAGGGTACATAAAACTCAGGTCAAGGACTGTACATTTTACTAAAGCACAATGATATATTATATATATGTTATCCATCAATCAGGAATGTTTACTGATACCATTACATGGAGGTACAACAGATCCCCTGAAATGTTTCAAAGTGAATGACATATAAGATGTAATGAACATTTGTGAACAATTTCAAAGCATATCAGTCCAGCTGTGTGTTGTATTTTAAGCAGCACCTGTGCAAATGAAAAACAGTGGAACTGTTAAACATTTCAAGTGGAAAACATTATTCATAACTATCTTATACATTTCAAATTGCTGTGTTCAACAGAAATATGTGTACATCATTGCAGTTTTGTATCTGTACTGCTAAGTATATTGGTTTAATGGGAGATAATTTTGGTATAGTCTCAGTGCATGAATCTGTTGGGATAAGCACAAGAAAGAACAGTGCTCAGTGTAGGAAATGTACTCATAGTTTAATTACAACAGCAGTTTTGTGAACTTCTGTCATCATGTATCCTAATAATTCATTGCAGGTGTGATTCACTGGGCCTCTGCTGGAGCTCTTGTCTGTACAGGGAATGGTAAGCAGTGAATGTATTGGAACTTGTGTGACTGTTCCATTGCACTGGTATCCTTTACAGTTGTGTGAAAGCAAAGGACATTTGTATTCTAATTACCCTGTGGGCACACCACAACCACCAAAACCCTTCATGCCAACCAAGATCATCCTGATCTTCCCCAATGAACACAACTGTTTATTGTTTCCTGGCCTTCAGCTGGATGGTGTTTAGATGTATGGTGATAACAATGTAGATGAAGTTATACTGATGGACATGCACTCAGTATAATATGTATCAGTATAATGCAGTCAGCATGTGATACCCTGCAAAAGTGAGCAGGATTTGACCTTTGACTAGCCTCAGCTGCCTGCCAAGTGCGACCCGACCGGCGAGCGCCGTCGCATCGCCGTCACATGACGTTCGACCTCTCCGCGCGCGCGAACCAGAATTCCAGTGCGACGACGGCGGCCAGTGCGTGGGGCGGCGGCGCGTGTGCGACGGCACGGCCGACTGCGCCGACGGCAGCGACGAGGCGTGCGCCGCCGGCGCGGCCGTCTGCCAGCCCGGCCAGGCGGCCTGTCACGACCGGCGCGTTTGCGTCCACGTCGATTGGCTGTGCGACGGCGTCCCTGACTGCCCCGACGGCTCCGACGAGGCCGCCTGTGCCATCCACCACCACAGGTAAGCTGGCCGCCAGCACGGGGCGGCCGGGGGGGGGGGGGGGGGGGGGCTGCGGTGGGGATCCCGCGCGGCCACTGGGGAGCCGGTATCAGACACTGGCTCACTCTGTCACTGACACTGGCGTTTTTAGGTCCCCCGCCGCCACAGACAGAAGCCCATCACAGACGCAGCAGTGCTGACCCCCGCTGACGCAAGTGAGCTCTTCACCATTGCAAATGAGCCCTAAACCGTTACAAGCGAACACTTCATTGCCGGCGACGAACTCTTCGGCGACGCGCCTGCACTGAGCCGCCTTTCGGAGAGACTTTCCACACACCTGACCATGCCCCGCAACCTGACAATCCCGGAGGAGGACATTGTTGTTATCGAAGTTTGGGGCTTAAGATTGCTTAGGAGAGGTAGGGCCTTCCGTTTTTTTCTGCGCGTTTCATTTCCTTTCAACACACATATTTCCCCTCGGCCTGAAAGCCCGTGTGATGCGTGTACGCTGAGAGCACAGCACATGCGCGACGTGCGGCGAACCCATGCACCAGAGCCCGCCGAGAGTGGCGGCGTGGCCGTGCTGGCGTGCGGTCTGGCGCCGTGCCGGGCGTTAGCGGCCGCCCCTCTGCCGGCCAGGCGCTGTGGGCCGGGACAGCTGCAGTGTCGCGGCGACGCCGAGTGTCTGGACGTGTTGTACCGCTGCGACGGCGTCGACCAGTGCGAGGACGGCTCGGACGAGATCGGCTGCGCCGGTGAGCGGGAGCATGCTGTTAGGCTGGTGAGCCTCTTGACCTCGCGCGAAATGGGCACACTGCGTTGTGTTAGCAAACACACACCGAGGTGCTGACATGTTTTGAAGACTTGAACGGAACGAACGCCGATACGCTCGTTTGCGCGTCAGCGTGTTCGTCCACGTCTGATGATTCCCTTTGCCCGGACGTGGTGCCGAGCGAAGGCCGCTGGCGTGCTCGGTGTCCGCCCCCTCCCCCTGAACTGCTGCCCGGTTCGCAGCTCCCGCCTCGCCTTGCGGCGCGGACGGCTTCTGGTGTCCGCACCGCGCCTTCTGCGTCGGCGCTGCCCAACTGTGCGACGGCGTCGACGACTGTGGCGACGGCGGCGACGAGGACTGCGACGTCACCGAGTGTGCACCCGGCGAGATGAGGTGACTGCCGGCAGGCAGGCCGGCTGCTGGCGGCGACGCTGTCAGTGCTGGCAATACCGCATCGAAGGCTCAGCTCACACTCCAAGTCCATATTCCATTACTGCGATCCAGGCAGCGTTTGTAAGGCCGATGTGTGCTTGGAGCCAACACTGTGTTTTGTATCGCGCAGTTGGTGTGTGAACGTACGCTACCTTTGGGCTCATTTGCCTCAGACGTGCACCAGGTACCTTTCGATGGCGTTAATGTGTGTGGGTGTGTGCGCGCGTGCGTGCGTGCGTGTGTGTGCGTGCGCGCGCGCGTGCGTGTGTGCGTGCGTACGCACGTGCGTGCGTGCCCTTTTGCTGCCTTGTGAGGACATCCGTCCTCAGATCGCCGTCGCGCCCTACTGACATCGGCGTGCCTCCCTCCCATCCCCCTACCTCTCCCCGGTGTCGTCAGGTGCGAGACGATGTGCATCGAGGCTGACTGGGTGTGCGACGGCACGTCCGACTGCGACGACGGGCGGGACGAGCGCAACTGTTCGGCGCCGGCGGCCTGTGCCAGTGACCAGTTCACCTGCCTGAACGGCCTCTGCCTGCCGGTAGGTGCGGTTCCGGTGCTGTCGACCGCGCTTACCGTCACCCGCCGCCCACCGGCCATCAACCATCAGCCATTGACCTTCAACCACCATCCACCAGCCACCATCCACCACCCTGCCATTCACCATCCACCATCCCGCAACCCCACCATCCCACCATCTCGCCATCTACCAGTTACCGACCACCACGCTACCATCCACCAGTCATCGGCCACGCGCACTCGGCCGGCGGTCTGGTGCCTGTCGCGGAGGCCCCCATTGTCTGCCAGTGCGCCACCTTCCCCCGAGGGACTGTGCCTGGAGTGGCCTGCCCTGGCGCCTGTCGCGGCCTGCGGCGGTGAGCTCCGCCCCGGCGGTGCGGCGTGTCGCTGCCGGCGCGGTGTGACCGAGCGTCGGCGCCGGCAGGCCGAGGACCGCTGCGACGGCCACCAGGACTGCGACGCCGGCGAGGACGAGGTGGACTGCGAGCCCGGCTGCCCCAGTGGGCAGTTCCACTGTCCGGAGGGGCCCTGCCTGCCGCCGCAGCAGGTCTGCGACGGGTTCAGACAGTGTTCCTGGGGACAAGGTGGGTATCCGGCCCGCCGTGCGGGCGGCGCCACTCTCAGACGCACGTCAGCTGGCACCTCCCGCCAGAGTGTAACCACTGGGCACGCACTGTCGTGATAGCCTGCCGTCGGTGACGTGTGCTCGCCTTTCAGACGAGGACGGGTGCGCGTACCTGGCCGAGTGTCCGCCGACCGCGCGCTGTGAGCAGCTGTGCCTGGGCCTGCCCTCGGACGCCGAGCCCAACTGCACCTGCCGCTCCGGCTACGCCCTGCAGCCGGACCGCGTCAGGTCAGCGCACTGCGGGACCGGGTCAGGTCAGCGGCAGCGTCCGGGGTCAGGTCAGCGGCGCCCCGAGTCAGGTCAGGGGCGGCGCCCCCGGTCAGGTCAGCGGCGGCGCCCGGGGTCAGGGCAGCGCACCGCGGGGCCGGGTCAGGTCAGCGGCAGCGCCCGGGGTCGGGTCAGCGGTGGCGCCCCGGGTCAGGTCAGCGGCGGCGGCTCGAGTCAGGTCATCGGCAGCGCCCGGGGTCAGGTCAGCGGCAGCGCCCGGGGTCAGGTCAGCGGCAGCGCCCGGGGTCAGGTCAGCGGCGCCCTGAGTCATGTCAGGGGCGGCGCCCCGGTCAGGTCAGCGGCGGCGCCCGGGGTCAGGTCAGCGCACCGCGGAGCCGGGTCAGCGGCAGCGCCCGGGATCAGGTCAGCGGCGGTGCCCAGGGTCAGGTCAGCGGCGTTCCGGATCAGGTCAGGAGCGGCGCCTCCGGGTCAGGTCAGCGGTGGCGTCCCAGATCAGGTGGTCGACTCAGAGGTGGCGGCCGGGGCTACGGGAGGCCAGCAGATGGGCAGTGGACGGGAACAGTGGCGCGGTGGCCAGGTCTTGTTTGGGGGGGCTCCCGAGACGGCCCTATGGCGCAACGCTCGTCTGAGTGTCATTCAGTTCCGATGAGCAGGATGTAAAGGACCACCGTGAACATTGTGGAAGTCGAGCTCGATGATCTCTCGGCTCTAGCGGATCGGGTCAGTCAGAAAAAGGGTTTGTTGGCCGCCTACCCGTGCTGGCCTCTAACCTGTGTGTGCTGCCGGTCTCCCTATTGCCCGGTGTTAACGTCTGACAGCCTGACCGACTTCTGACCGCGCGCTGACGGCTGTGACAGCTGCGCTGACGTCGACGAGTGCGGCCTGTACCGACCCTGCAGCCACTTCTGCCACAACAGCGCCGGCAGCTTCAACTGTAGCTGCGCGGCCGGCTACCAGCTGCGGCCGGACGGCGTCACGTGCCGGGCTGGGCCGCCGCCCGCCTCCCTCATGCTGGCCGCCAAACACACCATCCAGCAGGTGACGTGCCGCCTGCCGCCTCAGGCTCTTCTTGAGGAGGGTAGTCGGCGGACGGCGGCCGGGAGTTGTGTCATGCAACGCGAGGGATTGGTTCTCCGGGTGGGCATATTGGTTCTCCGGTTCTCTATCTTTCCATGAAGTTGAATGCTTACTGTCAGCAGACCATGTTGAGGGAGCGAGACCCGTGCTCGTGAGCTCTGTGGGTGGAGACTACGTTGAAGCTGTCCTGGGTGAATGAGCCGCTGACTTGTCTAGCGAGGCGAGTGGTGCCCTGACCTCTGGCCTGCCCGGCCCTGATCGAGGTCGCCACCTGTCCGTCACGCGCCAGAGACCTCGAACCTGACCTGACACATGGCCTGCGTCAGGTGACCCTGAACGGCGCCTTCTCGGCCACGGCCCACCGCGGTCTGGCCAACGCCGTATATGTGGACTACCACCTGAGCCGCGGCCTGCTCTTCTGGCTGGACACGGCGCAGAACGTCATCTACCGCTCCCTCATCACCGGCTCCCGACCGTGGGGTAGGTGAAACGGCAGCCGTGGCGTAGGTGGAACGGCAGCCTTGGCGAAGGTGGAGCGGGAGCCGTGACGTAGGTGGAACGGGAGCCTTGGCGAAGGTGGAGCGGGAGCCGTGACGTAGGTGGAACGGCAGCCGTGACGTAGGTGGAACGGCAGCCTTGGCGAAGGTGGAGCGGGAGCCGTGACGTAGGTGGAACGGCAGCCGTGACGTAGGTGGAACGGCAGCCTTGGCGAAGGTGGAGCGGGAGCCGTGACGTAGGTGGAACGGCAGCCGTGACGTAGGTGGAACGGCAGCCGTGACGTAGGTGGAACGGGAGCCTTGGCGAAGGTGGAGCGGGAGCCTCGCTTATCACAGAGCTATGTGGTTAGTGCTGAAAGGCTGCATTGCCATGAGAGCTGCAACATGCACGCTTGTGTTGCCCTGTATGCGTCATCAGATTAAGACTGCCGAAGATGGGTGTGGTCCTTGACTCGCCCATTGTCGTGCGTTGCCAGCGGTTACCCCGGCCGGCCTGTTCCGGCCGGCCGGCCTGGCCGTCGACTGGCTGCACGACCTGGTGTACTGGGCAGAGGAGCGACCCGGTGCGGTGGAGGTCAGCACACTGGACGGCGCCCACCGACACCGACTGCTTGCCGCCGACCTGGAGGCGCCGCGCGCCCTCTGTCTCCACCCGGAGCGGGCCTTCCTCTTCTGGGCCGACGTCGGTAAGCAGCCGACGGGCACGGGCTGTCGCGGTCACCCTGGTCCGAAGCGGTAGTCCCCGCGAGTGATGGTTTGATGCGCTCTGGTCTAGCGTAGCGAGATCATGGTGACGTAACCTGGGTTTAGCTGGTCGGACGTTCACCGACCGATCCCATGCAGCTCTGTGGTTTGGCTGCGGGTGTTGTTGTTAGCCCTCGCTGTTCATGGGGGCCGATCCCACGCAGCTCTGTGGTTTGGCTGCGGGTGTTGTTGTTAGTCAGCTCTCGCTGTCCATGGGGCCGATCCCATGCAGCTCTGTGGTTTGGCTGCGGGTGTTGTTAGTCAGCTCTCGCTGTCCATGGGGCCGATCCCATGCAGCTCTGTGGTTTGGCCGCGGGTGTCATTGTTAGTCAGCTCTCGCTGTCCATGGGGCCGATCCCATGCAGCTCTGTGGTTTGGCCGCAGTTGTTATTGTTAGTCCATGTCCTCTCGTCCTCTCGCTGTCCATGGAGCCCGGTCGCGTCACATGACCTCTCACACATCCGTGGATGTGTTTTTTTCGGCGAGTTGCCGACTGTTTATGTCTTTGGCCTGCTTAAGTTGACTCCCCAATCAACGCCTTTTATTTGGTAAGGACGCCTTGCCTCGTGTCCACACCGATTGCCTCGGAAAGCGTGCCGCCCTCGCCGGCCGCCCACCTGTGTGGTATGCGCAGGTGTCGCCACCCCGCCAGCCGGGCCGTCCCGCGCGAGCCGCCCGTCACCGGCGCCGCTCTGCTGGCAGGCTCACCGGCGCGGATCGAGCGCGTGAACGGCGACGGCAGTGGGCGGCGCCGGGTCGTCTCCGGCCAGCTGGCGTGGCCGAATGCCCTGACGCTGGACCAGCCGACCGACACGCTGTACTGGGCCGACGCCAAGCTGAACACCATCGGCTGCTGCCGCCTGGACGGCACTGGCCGGCGACAGGTCAGGCGGCGCTCTGGTCCAGCCAGGATCACCGCGGCGACGGGCAGGGCACAGGAGAGGGACGGGGAGGGCACGAGAGGGGCGGGGAGGGCACGAGAAGGACGGGGATTGCGCGAGAGGGACGGGGAGGCACGGACAAGATATTAAAGGGGTACGAAGTCTACTGAGCAGTGGAAGGATTGTCAGAGTGCATGGCTGTAGGGGACAATACAGCAGTCACTGGCGATAAGAGGGCTTTCGTACAGAAATCACAGGTGTGGTGCTCCGCCTGTCATACTCTATGTTGCTGGCTACTCCACCTGTCATACTCTGTGTTGCCGGTTACTCCACCTGTCATACTCTGTGTTACCGGCTACTCCACCTGTCATACTCTTTGTTGCCGGCTGATCCACCTGTCATACTCTGTGTTACCGGCTGCTCCACCTGTCATACTCTGTGTTGCCGGCTACTTCACCTGTCATACTCTGTGTTGCCGGCTACTCCACCCGTCATACTCTGTGTTGCCGGCTTCTCCACCTGTCATAATCTGTGCTGTCGGCTACTCCACCTGTCATACTCTGTGTTGCTGGCTACTCCACCTGTCATACTCTATGTTGCTGGCTGCTCCACCTGTCATACTGTGTTGCCGGCTGGTCCCGGTGGTGACGTTGCGCCAGCCATTGTCACTGCATGTGAGCGTCTGGCGAACCCGTCGGGTTCAACCTGCAGAGGATGCTACGGCGGCCCAGCGCCGACACTTTCAGATCGGCGATGGCGGCATGCGGCCAGCTGCTCTCATCCAGCGGTTACGCTACAGAGTCCATTCTGGCTGCCACCAGCTCGTGACGAGCGCGAGACGCAAGGGAGGTGCCTCGCGGCGGGTTCAAACGGGATGGCTTGTGATTCCGGCGGCAGATACGCCGACGTAGATTACATCGGTGCCCGGCGAATGTTTGGCTGCTTGTGACGGGCGGACACAAGGCTGCTCGAGTCGAAGCTGTCGGGGTCGGTGTGGCGGCGGTCTGACTGTCGGCCGGGACAGTGTCTGCCTGTCCTCCGCTGGTGGTGGCCGTCGGCAGCGGTGGCGGTGGGTGTGCCGTGCGCCCGACGCGGCTCAGACGTCTGCGTGCGGACCGTCCTGCCGATTCCGGCTGCGGCAGTCGCCGCAGCTCCGCCCACGATAGCGGCTGCCGTGTCTGTGCCTGTGCCCCTGCTCGGATGTGACAGCGTTGCGGGCTGCTCTTCCGGGGGTGATGGTGACGGCGCCTTTGTCGGCGGTGGTGGTGGTAGTGCTGCGCACTCCCCGTCGGCGACGGCTGAGGCGCGGCTGACGCTCGGCTGGTTGCAGGTGCTGGGTCACGGCGTACCCCATCCGTTCAGTCTCACGCTGTTCGAGGACACCCTGTACTGGACCGACCTGAAAACACACGCCCTCCACGCGGCCGACAAGCGCCACGGTACACCGGCAAGCACGCGCTTTGGCTCTTCGCCTCCGCGCGGCCGGCCTCGCGCGCCCTGGCTGTTCCTCTCCTCCGTTCCCTGAGCAGACACGCTCCCGCCTGCATACCCGCTCACGTCTTTCGGGTGCCGGGACATCCCAGCAGACGCAGGCCCCAGTGGGACGGAACTGCGCTAGCGCACCGTGACCACTGGCGCAGGCGCGCGCGTCGGCTGGCGAGCTTGCATGGGTCTGTGTGCATTCTGTCCACGTATCGTGCGCATAAATATCGTGTGCTCCCTCGCCGATTTTTGTTAGATTAGATGTATTGATTCGGAGAGCGCTGTCCGCATAGGAAGACGCACATGCGTGGTTGAAGCCGGGCTTGTAGTGCTTTGAGAGCCACAGGTGGACGTTCATTTTTGCATCCCTCGGCACCCCCTCCCCCCCCCCCTCCCCACATACACACATATGGCATGGACGCTTGCTTCTGTCCCAACGGGCTCCGGTTTGATGCGCCGAAACTGGCCGGAGCAGCTGCTGGTCAGATCCACTGGCCTCAGGCGCCGAGGCTGGCCGGTCAGCTGCTGGTCAGACCCGCTGGTCGCAGGCTCAGCTTGACGTGCTGGGAGACAGCGGCTGGGCCAGCCACCGCCGCTGGTGGCGTGGCAGGGACGGCGTGGCCAGCACGGGTGGCAGCGGTGCAGTCAGACAGGCTCCGGCGGCGGTGCCTCCGTCCATCCCCCGTCTGGACGCACGGGCTCACCAAACCACCGTGTAGGGATTGCGTTACGCCACGCAAGCATTCGAACTATGCCCTCCCTGGGAGAAAACTGCCTTACTTGCTGATATTTCAGAGCTGTTTGGGTTCGCAGGCTCAGTGACTCTGTTTCTCTTTTTCTTGCAATATTCAGCAAGCGACTACAAAGCAAACTTAGTGTCATCACACATCAAACAAGACGATTGGCTTTAGCATACGTGACACGCCACCGTCGCCGTAGACTAGGACTTCGGTGCCGCGTCCGTGTCCAGTAGCAGTGTCCGAGCGAGCAGATCGGTTGGCTAGACCAGTTAATGTAGATGAGGCCAATCCAGCACAGGCAGCAGCGAATTGGTGCCGTTCGGTGCGAAAATGACCTCTCGCGGATGCCGGAATCGGCGACAAATGACAACCGTGGCACCACACTATCTGGTCATTGGCCCGGGTGCCTGTAAGACAGTTCTTGGGCCTGCATTAGTGTTGAATCGGTGAAAGTCGTAAAAAGAAACATGCGAAAGAGCACGACTCAAATCGCCACTCAGTCGGTGGCGGCGGTAACTGTCGACTCCAGGTCGTGTTTTCCGCCGCCCGCCAGCTCGGCATCTGTTCTGTTCGGCAGTACTGGCGTCTCGCTGGCGTCCCGTGCCATTTGTCCTCTGCTGGTGGTGCCAACCAATAGCGCGACCGGAGCGGGCCGATCCCTGGCACCGCGTGCTCCGTGGGACGGGCTGCTGTAACGGTGTTCGGCCGGCCCGGGATCTATGTTGGTGTGCGCAGGCCTACTCCGCTCAGTCAGGTCGGCGTCGCGCCTCCGTCGGAGGAGACTGTTTGAGCTGCCTAACACTCGCTGAGCATGGGGACAATGGCCGCTGTTGCGGCGCCGCTCAACTGGGCTGGATTCTGACGAGCGTGTCTCTGAGCTGGTGTCAGCGCCGCTGGCTTGCCGCGCAGCTCAGCCCCGGGCATCTGGCATGGCTGCCCGAGCATGATCAGCATTCATCTAATCTTGCTCGCAGTATGCTGGTCGACTGTGTTCTGTTACGCAGCACCGTACGTTAGCGATAGATGTTTCGCTGTATTTTGCTGTAGATGTTGCCATTGGCGGCATGCGCCTGGCTCCGGTCGATGTGTACTCCGTGTACGGGTCTCAGGCAGCCTCCCCGTGCGTCAAGTAGGCACGGCAAGCTTCTGTCTGACCGTAGACTTGACGCGCCTAGTTGCGCAGGTCGCCGTTCGAGTCGAGTACCTCGTCACCCGGCCTGCTAAGTTCCAGTGGCTGTGTGGGTTCAGGAGCGCGCCGTCCCGTCGGTCGAGTACTGACGACTGTCGCTTGGCCTGCGGTCAATCGGGACGAGATGTGGCGCCGGCCCCGGCGACAGAGCGGCGTGGAGTGACGCCACCCGAACGCTGCGGCAGGCGAAAGCCTGCGCCAGCTGCGGGTCAGCCTGGAGCATCCACTGGATGTGCGCAGCGTACACCCACTGCGCCAGCCGGGCCGCTCGGAGCGCTGCGCCGACAACGGCCGCTGCTCGCACCTCTGCCTGCCGCGGCCCGACGGACGCCTCTGCGCCTGTCCCAGCGGCCTGCGCCTGCTCTCCACCAGGTCAGTGGGACGGGGCGGCGTCCGAGACCGCACCGCCAGGTCAGTGGGACGGGGCAGCGTCCGAGACCGCACCGCCAGGTCAGTGGGACGGGGCAGCGTCCGCGGCCACACCGCCAGGTCAGTGGGACGAGGCAGCGTCCGCGGCCGCACCGCCAGGTCAGTTGGGCGGGGCAGCGTCCGCGGCCGTACCGCCAGGTCAGTGGGACGGGGCGGCGTCCGCGGCCGCACCTCCAAGTCAGTGGCGCGGGGCGGCGTCCGGGGCTGCACCGCCAAGTCAGTGGCACGGGGCGGCGTCCGAGGCCGCACCGCCAGGTCAGTGAGGACGGGGCGGCATCCGCGGCCGCACCGGTGGGTTCTCGGCGTATCGGTCACACCCCGCCGGTCCCACACTTGAACGCTTTACTTAAGCGATCTGTGACGGGATTGGCTACTGAGAGCGTTTGCAGACTGCTGGGGGATGTGTCGCGGCATATTTCAAATGCGGAGCTCTCATGCGCGCGGGGTAGTAGTATTAATGCCTCGGACCTCACTCCTTTTCGTCACTCGAGACGGTTTTCACCACGTAGTGATCTCTACAGATTTATTATTGTTGCGAATCGTTGAGTCGCGACTGGTCGCGTTTGGCAGTTTGCGAGAAATACGCGCCCTGCGCGGAATAGGCGAGAAGAAAGCTGAGTACAATTCCCCTCCACCTCTGCGACTTGCGCGCACAACGATAACTGCACCCGGTACTGAGTAGTCGACAGCGCCTGCCCTGCCCTGCCCCGACCCGCCCTACCCTGCCGTGCCCTGCCCGGCCCCGCCCTCCCCCGTCCTGCCCTGCCCTGCCCTGCCCTGCCATGCCATGCCATGCCATGCCATGCCATGCCATGCCATGCCATGCCATGCCCTGTCCTGCTCTGCAGTGCCCTGCCCTACCGTGCCACGCCCTAACCTGCCCTGAAGTGCTGCGCCCTGCCCTCAGTCGGACGACCTGCCAGTCGGGCCCGCCGGCCGGCCTTCTGCTGGCGCAGAACGGCAGCTTGCAGGAGGCGCCTCTAGACGGCGGCACGCCACACCCGGTACCGCTTGTGGCGGTGGGCCGGCCAACGGCGCTGGCCGCTGATCGCGCCGGCGCGCTCTTCTGGGCCGACGGCGACTCGGGCAGTGTACAGCGCTCGCTCTGGAACGGCAGCCAGCACCGACTGGTGCTGGATGCCGGCCTCGGTGAGCGGCCCACAGGTGGCACTGGCGAGGCGTCGTCCCGGGGGCGGCGAGGGAGGAGAGAGCGGTAGGCGGGCGCTGTGGCGAGACGAGGCGGGCGGCTCGGGGACGAGTGGTCCCGGGGGGGGGGGGGGAAGGGGGGAGGACCGAGCAGGCACCGGAGCTGTGCCACCAGACGTCTCGGCCGGCGGCCGTGCGGCCGTGTGACGGCTAGTGTGCTGACGGGTGTGACGCGGCCGGTGGCAGGAAACGTGACGTCGCTGGCGCTGGACTGGCTGGGCGGTCTGCTGTACTGGACGGACGCCAGCCTGCAGCGGCTGGAAGTGGCGCGCGCCGATGGTCAGCTTCGCTCGCTGCTGCTGTCGGACGGCCTCGACAGTCCGGCGGCCCTCGTGGTCGACCCACCAGGTCAGACGCCGCTCCTCAGACTGTGGCCGACCTGGCCTGACCTGACACGACCTGGCCTGACACCATTCGACGTGACATGACTCCGACCCGACCCCGACCCGGTCGGGGCTGCCGCTGGCGTCGGTTAGATGGCGGTACTGGACTGGGCGGTCGCCTCGGCTGTGGCTGTGGAGGGGACTGCGCCGCCGCAGGCCGCTTCGAGCGGCGCGTGATGCCGCCGAGCTCGCCGACGCTCGTGGTTGTCCCGCCGTGACGTCACCTGCGACCGAAGTTGAAGTTGTCCTGCGGGGCACACGTGGCATGTGCGGGGCAGATTTGTCCATGGCCGACTGGTGACAGCCAGAGCCGGCGTCTCGGACCGACCGTGCTTCTGTGGCCGACATGCTGTACTGGATGGACCCGTGCTGTGTGCTATTCCAGCTGGCCTAATGTACTGGATGGACCCGTGCTGTGTGCTGTTCCAGCCGGCCTAATGTACTGGATGGACCTGTGCTGTGTCCTGTTCCAGCTGGCCTGATGTACTGGATGGACCTGTGCTGTGTGCTGTTCCAGCCGGCCTAATGTACTGGATGGGCCCATGCTGTGTGCTGTTCCAGCTGGCCTGATGTACTGGATGGACCCGTGCTGTGTGCTGTTCCAGCCAGCCTAATGTACTGGATGGGCCCATGCTGTGTGCTGTTCCAGCTGGCCTGATGTACTGGATGGACCCATGCTGTGTGCTGTTCCAGCCGGCCTAATGTACTGGATGGACCTGTGCTGTGTGCTATTCCAGCTGGCCTGATGTACTGGATGGACCTGTGCTGTGTGCTATTCCAGGTGGCCTGATGTACTGGATGGACCCATGCTGTGTGCTATTCCAGCTGCCTGATGTACTGGATGGACCTGTGCTGTGTGCTGTTCCAGCCGGCCTAATGTACTGGATGGACCTGTGCTGTGTGCTGTTCCAGCCGGCCTGATGTACTGGATGGACCTGTGCTGTGTGCTGTTCCAGCTGGCCTGATGTACTGGACGGACCCGTGCTGTATGCTATTCCAGCCGGCCTGATGTACTGGATGGACCTGTGCTGTGTGCTATTCCAGCTGGCCTGATGTACTTTATGGACCTGTGCTGTGTGCTATTCCAGCCGGCCTGATGTACTGGATGGACCTGTGCTGTGTGCTGTTCCAGCTGGCCTGATGTACTGGACGGACCCATGCTGTGTGCTATTCCAGCCGGCCTGATGTACTGGATGGACCCGTGCTGTGTGCTATTCCAGCCGGCCTGATGTACTGGACGGACCCGTGCTGTGCGCTGTTCCAGCTGGCCTCATGTACTGGATGGACCTGTGCTGTGTGCTATTCCAGCTGGCCTGATGTACTGGACGGACCCGTGCTGTGCGCTGTTCCAGCCGGCCTGATGTACTGGATGGACCTGTGCTGTGGGCTATTCCAGCCGGCCTGATGTACTGGACGGACCCGTGCTGTGCGCTGTTCCAGCTGGCCTCATGTACTGGATGGACCTGTGCTGTGTGCTATTCCAGCTGGCCTGATGTACTGGATGGACCCGTGCTGTGCGCTGTTCCAGCTGGCCTGATGTACTGGACGGACCCGTGCTGTGCGCTGTTCCAGCTGGCCTCATGTACTGGACGGACCCGTGCTGTGCGCTGTTCCAGCCGGCCTGATGTACTGGACGGACCTGGGCGCCCCTGAAGCGGCCGGTGGTCGGATCGAGCGCGCCGCCATGGACGGTTCGCGACGCTCGGTCGTCCTGGGCTCGGGGCTGGGCGCCCCCACCGGGCTGGCGCTAGACACCGACTCGCGCACCATCTACTGGTGCGACGCCAAACTAGGTGCGTCGCTGGTGGGCCGTGCGACTACAGACGGGCGTTGAGGAATCATCTCAGCCCGCGGATTCCGCAGGCGGAGGTGAAGCTGCTGACCGGCATTGACGATGTGACCTCACTGACAATTACTGACAAGCTAGATCGCTGTTCTTATCAACGTGGTTTCCTAGTCATCCACTTTACACTTAACCTGTTTTGCCACGTTTTACCCTCGCCAGAATTAGCGTTGCTATTCTTGATCAGGGCACATGTCAAAGTCTAGCACATTCCATGTGCGCGACGCTGCAACATGAGTGGGCCTGCGTGTTCAATGGCGGCCATGTGGCGGGGCGCTGTCACACTGTGTGCCGGCTGTCGGCCGCAGGGGCCGTGAGCGCCGCGCCGCTGACGGACGACGGCCTGGGCGCCGCCCGCCGCCTCTTCTCGGAGCGGGAGGCGCCGCTGGCGCTGGTCGCCGCCGCTGGCAGACTCTTCTGGCTGGAGGGCGGCTCGGGGGCGGTGCTGAACGGCAGCGCTGCCGGCCGGCCGGCACCGGTGCGGCTGGCGCTGACGCTGCCGCAGCCGGGCCCGCCGCTGGCGCTGGCCGTGCTGGGTGTCGACCGCCCGGCCCAGCCGCCCGAGGTGGCGCAGAGCGGCTGTGGCCGCGACAACGGCGGCTGCTCGCACCTGTGCCTGCTGGCGCCGGCCGGCCGCGCCTCCTGCCGCTGCCCCACCGGTGAGTGGACTTAAGCGGCGGGCCCGGCAGCACGCCACTGGTTTCTGATCGCTGCAGCGATGTTGTTTACCAGGTAGAAGCCGGCGGGTCGTAGGATTATCATTCTGTCTTGTACATTTGTTCGCTCATGCTGCTTGTCCAGCATCTGTGGTGGAATGTGAAGTTTTGGGGATGAGGTTGGGCGATGCCTCTTTCTCCCCCCCCCCCCTTGTTGTCCCGCTCCTGTCTGCTCACCTGTCTGCGTTGTTTCGTTCTTGTGACCCGCATGCTGACCAGCCCTCGTTTTGCCAGGCGTGCCGATGTCAGAGGACGGCCGCTCCTGCGAGCGAGGGCCAAGACTGAGCCTGGTGTTCGCGCGCGGCCGTGAGGTGCGCCGGCTGGCGCTGACCGATCCGCCGGGCGTCGACACCGTGCTGCCGCTGCCGCGCAACATCGACGTCACGGCCATCGCCTGGGACCAGCGCTCAGGTGCGCGGAACGGGCCGGTGCCGGCGGCCCGACGCTGAGCTGAGGGCGCCACACCCCGCCCGAGGCGCTGTTGTCACTTCACGGGGGAGGGGGGGGGGGGGGCGAACATTCGGGGTAGCTCATGGACTGGGTGGAACAGTGGCGTTCACGGTCATATGCAGGTTGGCTGGCACGCCGCGGCTGGCGTGTGTACGTGGGAGGCTGCTTCTGCCGGCCGACGCTCAGAGCGTGACCCTGTGTGTCCGGCCCAGGTCGGCTGCTATACTTTGACCGCGCCGGCGGCCGGCGCCGCATCGTTAGCGCCGTGCTGGACGGCCTCAAGTCGCACCCGGTGGTGACGCACGAGCTGGGGCACGTCTCGGCTCTCGCCATTGACATGGTCGGCGGCAAGGTCAGAAAGGCGGCCCCGCCGTCCAGTCAGGCGGCCAGGGCTACTGTTTCTGACCGGGAGCCCTTGTCGGTTGCCGAACTGTGTCCACGCCGTCAGTTTATGTGTAGCTTTCAGTAGTTGGGTGCACGTTGATTGATGTGTGATGGCCGTCTTGGTTGGATTTCTCACCAGATGTATGTGTGACTGACACGCTTGCAGCGTGTGTCAGGCGTCCTGGCCGGATATGTCCGGTCTGAGCTGTGTGTTCAGGCCGGATGTGTCCGGTCTGATTTGTGTGTTCAGGCCGGATGTGTCCGGTCTGAGCTGTGTGTTCAGGTCGGATGTGTCCGGTCTGAGCTGTGTGTTCAGGCCGGATGTTTCCGGTCTGAGCTGTGTGTTCAGGTCAGGCGTCGTGGCCGGATGTGTCGGATCTGAGCCGCGCTGCTGCTGGTGCCGGAGCCGCCGCTCGGGTTTCAGCTGTGGCGGTCAGACAGGCTGTGTCAGCCGCCCTCCGACCGCGCGGCGCGGGCTCTGTTTCAGCTGTTCTGGACGGACATGAGCCGCGCCAGTGTGGAGGTGGCCGAGCTGGACGGCCAGCGGCGCCAGCTGCTGGTGCACGCCGGTCTGCAGATGCCCGGCGCGCTGGCCGTCTCGCACCGGCACGGCCTGCTCTTCTGGGCCGACTGGGGCAGCGAGCCGCGCCTCGAGCGCGCCGGCATGGACGGCTCGCAGCGGTGAGGCCGCCGCCGCCGCCGCCGCCCGCATTGAACGACTTGGTGTGGGACGGCAGCAGCGCCGGGGAGGGCAGGGCAGGGCGCGTTGTGACAGATTCGACGAGTCCTCCAGTCTACCACTTGTATACTGAAATGCTTTGCGACCTGTTTTAGAGTGTTTTTAGCGTCATTTGTTCCAAGCTCGGTGTGTAAGACAGCTGTAAAAGTCAGCACCTACACCTGCCTCACAGACCGGTTCACCTCAAGTATGGTTTGCGCCTGGACGAACGATGTGTATTGGTCAGCTGGGTCAACTGGAAGCATTTCAAATCGCTCTTACGCCTTGACATGACGAACGCTTTCCCGTCGTTACCGTGCTATTCAGTGAGGCTGCGCCGGGCTCGGCAGGTCACAAGGGTCAGTGAGCAGCGGGCGGGCGTTCGGGAGCGTTATGTCGATGTGTTCCCGTGACCCTGGCACCTGGCACCTCTGCCGGTTCGGGAGCGGTATGTCGATGTGTTCCGGTGACCCTGGCACCTGGCACCTCTGCCGGTTCGGGAGCGGTATGTCGATGTGTTCCGGTGACCCTGGCACCTGGCACCTCTGCCGGTTCGGGAGCGGTATGTCGATGTGTTCCCGTGACCCTGGCACCTGGCACCTCTGCCGGTTCGGGAGCGGTATGTCGATGTGTTCCGGTGACCCTGGCACCTGGCACCTCTGCCGGTTCGGGAGCGTTATGTCGATGTGTTCCGGTGACCCTGGCACCTGGCACCTCTGCCGGTTCGGGAGCGGTATGTCGATGTGTTCCCGTGACCCTGGCACCTGGCACCTCTGCCGGTTCCAGATCGGTGGTGGTGACCGGTCGTCTGGGCCGGCCGAGCAGTATTGTGGTGCACGCGCTCCTGGACACAATCTACTGGTGCGACCACCAGCTGGGCGTCATAGAGTGGGCCGGCCTGGACGGCTCGCGCCGCGCCACGATCGCGTCCGGTCAGTCCGCCCCGACTCTCTGAGCGGTGCATGGCTTCCCCCGGTATGGGGGGGGGGGGAGACCACGCCTCTTGGATGTTCTTGCGGGGTGGGGAACCATTGCGTTAAGGAGCTGCTTTCGGCGGTAATAGAATTCAGCCGACCGCCTCCATCGCTGACCGAGCTCAGGCGTTGGGCCGGGGGTCGGTCGGTGCTCCCGGAACTGGACCCCGGCCTCTCAACTCCCGCAACAAACTAAGCCTTCAACTGACGGTTGTTTTGCCTGGCGGCGGACATTGTGCGATTGTGGCCGACGGCGCTGGGGACCGGCCAGTGCCATAGCACCGCTTGGCAGCTGCGACTCGGCGCTCCGTGCAGCGGCGCGCGCCCACCTTTGGCGTCGGTCGGCGCCCGCCTGGCGTGGCCGTGACCTGCCGTGCCCGGGGGTACGTCTGACCGGTGACTTCGCCTCAGGCCTGCGCCAGCCGTTCGGGCTGGCCGTGCACCGGGTGTACCTGTACTGGACCGAGGGCGGGTCGAGCGGCGCCGTACAGAGACGCCTCCTCATGAGCAAGTTCTCGGCACCGGACACGCTGGCGCGCGGCCTGGACGGCCTCCGACACCTGCTGCTGGTGGAGGTAGGCTGCCGCTCCGCACACCCACCGAGGCGCGGCGAGCTCTTGTCCGGGGTCACGGCCAGCGATGCCTCGAACGTCGGACGGAGACCATGTCACTCCGCCATGTCGCCCCGCCATGTCACCCCACCATGTCACCTCAGTGCTGGTCGCTCAGTCCTCCGTCCAAGGGCAAACAGAGCATATGTTAATTCATGGAATACTGAAGCACTGCCTGTTCGTCTGCGATCGTCGCTAGGAGCGGCCGGCCGCGTGGGCTGGGTGTGTGCCGGCCGAGGAGCCAGCTGAGCGTGGCATGGCGTGACGCCCATCCGTGACGTGACGTGATGTGACGCCTGTGCGTGTCGGCGCCGCCAGCGTGACACGCCGCTGGCCCGGTATGCCTGCGGCGACGAGAACGGCGGCTGCGCCGGGCTCTGTCTGCGCCGGCCGGGGGGCCAGACGTGCCGCTGCGGCACGGGGCTGGCGCCGACCGCCGACGGCACGTGTCCGGCCCGGCCGAGCCGTATGCTGCTCTACCTAACGCTCAACAGGTGAGCCGCCGGCCGGCCGCCAGCCATGTCAGTCGCTGCTCCGATGGTGGAGGTCAGGCGGTGGGGTCTGTGCAGCCGGCCAGTCCCCGTGCCGAGTGAACGAGGCCAGTCAGCGAAGCTATGTAACCCGTCCAGTCGGCACCTCCGTCGATAGCAGGTCGTCTCCTCGCCGTGCCGGATGGTCTCTGCCGACGTGTCCAGCTCGGTGTCCCGATGTGCAGATGTGCTGAAGTCCACTGGACACGCCGTGTGGTGACGCTCGTCTCTGCCGACGTGCCCAGCCCGGTGTCCCGATGTCCAGATGTGCTGACGTCCACTGGACACGCCGTGTGGTGACGCTCATCTCTGTGCCGGCCGTCAGCGTGGTGCAAGTGTCGCTGGACACGGACGAGCGCTGGGAGGTCACTATGCCGGTGACGGGCGTTCACAACGCCGTCCGTCTGGACTTCGTGCACGCCGACAACGCAGTCGTATTCACCGACCGGGGCCTCAACGAGATCCGGTGAGATTTCACTTGGGCCGGTGTCGTCCGACTGAGCCGCTGGTGTCGGTGTCGTATGCTGTATTGCTCTGTCCACCTTCGGCAGCCAGCTGTTTTTAGTGTCAGAAGTGGGGGGGATTTTTAGTTCGGGGATCGACATGGTTTATCGGCGTCATGTTTTGTACAAGCGAGCATTTCGATCACACGATGCATGTCAATGTACTGCGGCTCTTAGGAACCACGCGTCTCTGTGTCCATGAGCAGCCAAATCACGAGCGCATGCTCCTGTTGAGCCCGCCCCCTCCCTCCACTGCCGGCTCTACCCTGCCCCTGTCGGGCAGGTGGGCGGACCTGCGCACGCCGGCCGTCGCGGCGCCGCGCACACTGCTGAACGTGGCGGACGTGTGGCCGGAGGGCGTGGCCGTCGACTGGGCGGCGCGGCTGCTGTTCTTCAGCGAGGCGCGCGCACCAGCGCTGATCGTGATGGCGCTGAGCGGCTGCTGTCGGCGCCGGCTGGTCACGGGCGGCCTCTCGCAGCCGCGAGCGCTGGCCGTGCTGCCCGCCGCCGGTCTGCTGGTATGGGCCGACCAGGGCGCACCGCCGCGGCTGGAGGCGGTCAGGCTGGACGGCAGTGGCCGGCACCGGCTCGTCACTGAGGGCATCAGCGCGCCCACCGGCCTGGCCGCCGAGCAGGACAGGTGAGTGGCGGTGGCGGGGCTCCACCGGCTGACGCGGCGGGCTGGGGAGGGAGGGCGACGCCCACCGGCCTGGCCGCCGAGCAGGACAGGTGAGTGGCGGTGGCGGGGCTCCATCGGCTGACGCGGCGGGCTGGGGAGGGAGGGTGACGCCCACCGGCCTGGCCGCCGAGCAGGACAGGTGAGGAGCGGTGGCGGGGCTCCATCGGCTGACGCGGCGGGCTGGGGAGGGAGGGTGACGCCCACCGGCCTGGCCGCCGAGCAGGACAGGTGAGTGGCAGTGGCGGGGCTCCACCGGCTGACGCGGCGGGCTGGGGAGGGAGGGCGACGCCCACCGGCCTGGCCGCCGAGCAGAACGGGTGAGGAGCGGTGGCGGGGCTCCATCGGCTGACGCGGCGGGCTGGGGAGGGATGGCGACGCCCACCGGCCTGGCCGCCGAGCAGGACGGGTGAGGAGCGGTGGCGGGGCTCCATCGGTTCACTCGGCGGGCTGGGGAGGGAGGAGTGGCAGACCATTGTTCCAAATTTAGACGCTGTCGTCAAGATCCGATGGTCATCGCCGGCGACTGCGCCACAGTGCCGGTCGGCATTGTCAGCGGACCACGTAACGAACGAACGTGGTATTTTGAGCATTTCTACAGCACATCCGAGGTGCTGGCTGCTGCGGGTGGTGTCGTGAGGGTGGTAGCCTGTGTACGTGGCACCGCGGGAACGCATTTGGTGCAGTTTTTGTAAAGCTGGGCCGAGCGGTGCGCTGTCGTGGTTCCTGCGGCACCCGTCTTGGGGACTGACCACCGTGTAGTAGGCTTCCCGTGAGACGGCCTGTTACCGTTTTCGAACCTCTGTGCAGGGTAAAGTGCATGGCTGTTTTTCGTAATAGCGTCACAAATGCACGTTATGTACATGCGTGCGCACAAATTTCTGCACCATTGCCGACGTCCGTAACCCCAACACATACCACAGCTGCAGAGAACGAAGGTCACATATGCTCGCCTTGATGGATTTTCTAGAGCAGACGAGTTCTCAGAACACTGAACGTTGAACTGTGTTTTGGAGACAACGGAGCATGCTGTTCATGTCGCGTGGCTGGCGAGTCGGACGAGAGGGAGCCATGTCACGTGCACGGGTTACGCTGACGGTCTCGCTGTCCTTGCCAGCGCGCCCACATTTGGCGCGTGTGCGGAGGGCTCGCGCTGACATACGGGGCGCCGGCCGGCAGGGTGTACTGGGCCGACTCCCAGCTGCACCGGATCGAGTCCTGTGACCTGCAGGGCGGCGACCGGCGCGTACTGGTGGCGGGCGTCGCCCACCCGTTCGGCGTCACTGTGGTGAGCGGTCCTCGCCCTGGCCGTCCCCACAGGCGCCGACGGGGCGCCCAGTCGGTCAGGGCCGGGGGATGTAGCAGGGCGGATGGCCGGGGCGGGGGGACGTAGCGAGGTGGAACGCTGTCGTTAGTCACCTGTCGCTGTATTTGAATCTTGTGTCTGTCGACCGGTATCTCACTCTGTAGGTATCAGCAGGCAGGTATGACACTCATCCCTCTTACTTCCATGTTACCGGCATACTTTGGGTATCACGCTGGCCGACGTCAGGTGGCGTTGGCGTAGCGCCACCGCGCCCAGCGTACCGGGTGATTCGGTGTACCGCCCGCCGTGCCAGATCCCATTGTGTGAGGCAGTGCACCGAGGTGGTATACGTAGGCGGTACACTGAGACGGTACATCAAAAAGAGGTACACCAAGGCGGTACACCGAGGCAATACACTGAGGCGGTACACCGAGGCGGTACGCTGAAGCGGTACACCGAGGCGGTGCACCCAGGCGGTACACCGGGGCAACACACTGAGGCGGTACATCGGGGTGGTACACCGAGGCGGTGCACCAAGGTGGTACACCGAGGTCAGGCTGGCTCCGCGGTGCGGCTCCGGTAACCGGTCGCCCGGCCGCCGCAGATGGGCGACTGGCTGTACTGGACCGACTGGGAGACCAAGACGCTGGAGCAGGCCGGCAAGGCCGACGGCGGCCACAGGAGCGTCATCAGAGGCGGTGAGTGGCTTGAGCTTCGGCGGGCCGCAGACCGGCACCGAGCGGCCGGGTCCTCTTGTGACTGGATCTTCTCTCCTGTCTAGCGAGAGGAGCAGGTCAGAAACTGATTTGGCCTGGAGGGACATGTAGTATTGCACTCGGTGGGCGTACAGCAAAGCTCTGCCAACTTACCTGGCGAGAATCCTGCTGCGAAACCCTGTGGGTTTTTTGTCGTTTGCAATGTAAGCACATTCAACTCGTCACGTTTAACAGTGAAGTCAGCAAAATCGTTTTCACTGCTAATTCAGATCAGCTGTTGCCATACTCGGCCGCCGGTGGCCGAGTATGGCAACACCGGGGGCACGGCTGCCGAGCCGGCGGCCCCGCCTGCCGAGTATGGCGACACCGGGGGCACGGCTGCCGAGCCGGCGGCCCCGCCGCCGAGTATGGCGACACCGGGGGCACGGCTGCCGAGCCGGCGGCGTGGCCCCGGCTGCACGTGACGGCCGTGTGGGGGCGTTGTTGCAGAGCTGGAGCGGGTCATGAGCGTGGTGGCCGTGTCTGCCGAGCGCCAGAGCGGCTCGAGTCCGTGCGCCGCCGACAACGGCGGCTGCTCGCACCTCTGCCTGCACACGGGCGGTGGAGAGGTGACCTGTGCGTGCCCCGACGCGCCCGACGAGCGGCCCTGCCACACCAACCCGCACTCACAGGTGAGAGCAGTGTGAGCTCACCCGCACTCACAGGTGAGAACACCGCGTGTGACACTCAGAGGCGAGAACGTGCCCTTTCATGCCCACGGGCGAAAGATGTCATTCCACTCTTAGATGGAAATATACCACTCTCGGCGTCTCCCATTTGTCCACTCTGAACCATGGGCGGAAGCAAGGTCATATCCAGCACACAGGTGAGAAGATTGTCGCACACCCCTGTGCCTACGGGCGAGCTAAGTCACGACACGCCGCACAGGTGAGAGCAGCGCTGCGCCTTACACTTTTCCCTCAGCACAGGTGATAACAGCCTCACGTCACACCACAACACCACGCTGCTGGGTGAGAACGTCACAGCACGCGGCCTAGGCGGACGGTGACGGTGTGCTGGCCTGTGTGGCGGCAGGGCCGGTCGGTGGACTCCGGATCACCCAGCGGCGTCACTACGGCGCTGCTGACGGCCGGCGGCCTGCTGCTGCTGCTGCTGGTCCTGCTCGTGCTGGGCCTCCTGTGCCGGGCCCGGCTGGCGCGGAACGCACCCGACCAGGAGGCCACCCTCACCTTCAGCAACCCCACGTACAACTCGTCTGCCTCCGACTTCAGCAACGAAAAACGCTTCTCCTGGCGCAAGGCTAATTACAACAAGGCGCAGGTGGGCCTGGCTGCGGCGTGCTGGCCTTCTGCGGAAGGATTGTGAAGTGAATGGATGCTGCGCAGTATGCTGCATTTCTCGTTCATGTTGTAAGTCTGCCCTGACTTCTGGTCACTAATGCTGGCGGTTTTCGTCGTTTGGTGGTGGCCGAAACCGTATTTCAGTTGTTTTCGGTTATAGGTCGGGCTGCAGTTTCGTCGTGTATACCCGGCGCTCGATGCAGCGCTGTGACGCCGTAGCGAGGTGCCGTTGCCCATTGGCATTGACGCTCGACCGTGTGACGAGGAGCACTGCACACTACTTGGTATGGCTGTGAACTCAGCGTCGGTTAGGTATCCTCTGTACTGTGATGTGGTGGTTTTCGGTGTGGCGCCCTGTCCGCTACCAACAAACTGCTAGCAGTGAACTTTGTCGATGATGTGACCTGTGTGCTGTGACAACGTACCGTGTCCAATGTCCGGCGTCCGGGGACAGTGCGCCCTGTCCAGTGCCAGTGGGCCCCGTCTGGTGATAGTGTCCGGTGACGTCCGGTCTGGTGCTGTGTGAGTTGTTGGCTGTGTCAACCCGGTCCGCCAGGTGACGCCGCCGTCCGGTCTGGTGCTGTGTGAGCTGTTGGCTGTGTCAACCCAGTCCGCCGGGTGACACTGCCGTCCGGTCTGGTGCTGTGTGAGTTGTTGGCTGTGTCAACCCGGTCCGCCAGGTGACGCCGCCGTCCGGTCTGGTGCTGTGTGAGCTGTTGGCTGTGTCAGCTCCGGCCGCCGCGTGACGGCACCGTCCGGTCTGGTGCTGTGTGAGTTGTTAGCTGTGCCAGCCCGGTCCACCGGGTGACGCCGCCGTCCGGTCTGGTGCTGTGTGAGTTGTTAGCTGTGTCAACCCAGTCCGCCGGGTGACGCCGCCGTCCGGTCTGGTGCTGGGTGAGCTGTTGGCTGTGTCAGCTCCGGCCGCCGCGTGACGGCACCGTCCGGTCTGTCGTGCAGGAGGCGGGACCGGCCGGGCCGCCGGGCGGCGCCGGCGGCGGCGGCGCCGCCGGTCTGGAGGCGGCCGCGCTCATCGACGCCGTCACACTGGACCACAACAGCTCGACGCCACTGGCCAGCTCTCCCGGCCTGCAGCACTAGACGCCTTCGGAGGCAGTGCAGCTGGTGATATGTGCGAGCTTGGTGCTGGAGGACGGCGTGCGGGCGGCCGGGGAGCGGTCGGTCACGCGGGCGTTATTTTTGATCGCGGAATGTCAGAGACGCTGGCTTGTTATGCGTTAGACGCATGGGGGTTCTGGCAACCGTGGAAGTAAGTAGCTTTGCCAGGACCCGTCGGTAGCTCTCATGACGAATTAGGTAGAACTATGGTTGCTGAAATGACGTAGAAACAGGATTGACTTCAGAAAATGAGGTCCGGCTTACGATTTTTCGTGGACACTAGCGGTCTTTTTCGGGATCACTGTGTCCCACTCCCCGAATTTGCAGATCGTTTGAGCGTGATTCAACAGGACGCATTTACCCGTTTGAGGCCGACTGCAGTCGGCGCCACCTTCCGCCTCCGCTCGCGCCGTCCGCCGGCGCCCAACCCCCGGGCCCCAGGCCCTGGGGCTTCGGCGGCAGCCCGCTCCGCTTGACTGTGCTGGTCCGCGGACGCGGCCGCGGCGTGTCTGTATCCGCGCCGGTGTCTCTGTCTGTGTCCGTGTCGTGGCGGGGTGGGCTTCCGCTGCTGTTGCTCAGCGCCGCGCTCGGCGCGGCGGCCGCAGCGCCGCGGATCCCCGTCGTCGCGCTGTTATGCGGCTCAGTCCTGGCGCCGCCCGCCGCGCCGCACCGGCAACATATCTCGGTCGGGCGCGCGGGGACGCTGACGTCGCCCGTCGCTCTGTCGGTCGGCCACTGACGCCTGTCTGCGGACCTGACGTCGCCGTTGTGCTCACCCGTCCGGCCGGGGCGGCGCGCCCCTCGATGTGATAGCCCGGCGGTGTGTCGCGCCGCCGCCGTCGGTCGGTCCGCGCGCCGCAGCTTAGCCGCTCTCCCTGGGCGTCGGCGCGCCGCCCGCGCGCACAAAGCTGCGAGGCGACGTTTCCCCGCCGAGCCGACGGTCCTAGCTCTGCTCTCCTGTCACGGCGTCGCCCTGAGGACTGGGCGGCGCGGTGGCGCGAGAGAGCCCCGGCCGTTGCCCGCCGGGGCCGGGGCCGGGGCCGGCTCTGCTCTGCTCTGCTCTGCTCCCGGCCCGGCGCCGTCCTGGCTCCAGTTGTAGCTGGCGCCTCCGCTGTTGCGTGTGCTGTGTGCGCTGCCGGCGCCGCTCCGCCGGCTGCCCAGCGGTCCGCTCCCGGGCTCCCTCGCTGTCGGCAGTAAGACGAGCCAGGCGCCCGCGGCTCCGGCCCTGCGGCGGCGTTGACGGTGCTAGCGCGAGGGCGTTGTATGTGTTGAGTGCCTGGACTCGCTCGGCGTTGTGCTAGTCAAGAATTGTTGGGGGGCATGTCGTTTCCTTCGACAAGGTGCCAAAAGCTGCCCTTTCGCAATGCCCCAGCACGTGCGGTGCGCCCAGGAGGCAGAAATAGCATCGCGCTAATGTCAGGCCGCTCTGGGGTTGACGGCACATTTTAATGGCGCCCGCTTGTTGGCTTGGCTGGACGCCAGGCTCGGATCTCGGTCGTCCCGGAGTTACGACAGGTCTCGTCGTCCTGATCTCGTGTTAGAATCCAGGTTGTGGTCGTCGCTCAGCGCTGGTCCGGTGTTCGCTTAGCTTCCGCCAGGCGACGGCCGGCGGCGCGGTCCTGCGCGGTGGTGTTACTCGGAGGGTCGTAGCCCGCTGGGTCAGCATAGCTGTTCGGGCGCCCCGGGTCAGGTGCTCGGGGCCCATGTGGCAGCTCGGTTGTTCGTGGCCGATATGGCAGCTTAGGTGTGCGCGCCCGGGTGTTCTCAGTGTGCCGGCGGCTTTTCGTGATCAGTGTGGTGCTGCGGACGTCAGCTGTGTTTCCGGATGTGCGCCGTGCGAACGGACCGTTGATTGGCGCAGCTTGTTTTCGCTGCGGTCTAGAGATGAAAGATATTTTCAGAGATCTTGGGCTAAGTATTTTTGAGCGTTGTGGGTGCGTTTTGTTTCGGCATCTTATGCTCAATGGTACGTTTTCCTGACACTAGGATTGGGATATATATATATATATATATATATATATATATATATATATATATATCCGCTCATGTACGCTGTAATCCGTGGTTGCCCGACACTACAGAACGCTTTATTTTGCATTGTGATTTGCGTCATATTTAGATTGGTTGCTCATCATGGCCATATGTTTGCTTTATGAAGCAGTGCGACCGACTGAGTACGGCTGTCATGTGCGAATGCTGAGAAGGATCCGGGTGATGGCAGTCGCTATCTACCGTACCCCGAATCCTGTGTGGGGAAGAAAACATCTCGCGCTTGTCAGCAGCACGTTCCCTGACGACGCTGTCCGCAAGCTGCGTTTTAGTATGTGGCACCTGCGGCATTGACGTTGATTCCTGTACGTTGGTGTTGTGACGGAGGTGCATGTTGGCTGCCGCCGCTGTCGTGGTCGCCGTCCGACGGGCGCGGAGTGGGGGATCCGACTCAGTGCGATGTGTCCGTGAGCCGCCAGCAGCCGGCCGAGCCGGGCCGCCGCGTCCTGTCGCTGCTGCCCTGTCGCATCGCGGCGCGTCACCTGCTCATGCCACGGGGCAGACGCCTCGTCAGCCGCTCTTCAGATGTGCGTATTCTATTTGTGCGAAATAAACGTGAGGGCGAACTCAGCTTTTTGCACCGTATGTTAGCTTGGGAAACGAAAGCTTGCGGCTATGTTGGGTTTGCATTGTAATGCGGGCTGAAATAACTACGTTTTTCTTCCAAGGCTCGGTGGGGAATATCTTTCAAGATTTTCTTCCAGGCCGGATGTATGGCGACAGTTGAGTTTATGAAGGCTTTGGAGTAAGCGGCCTCAGATATACTTAATTGCAAGCGGGTTGCATGGTTTTCGATGCATGTTGCGGTAGCGATGCACTTTTTTAAACATGTTTGTTTCCGCAAAACTTGCTTTTTGCCAGTTGTCCCATTTGCCCATTACCATGTCAGGTGCCCATTTTCACCGTATTAAGATGAGCATCGTCCATGGGCGGGCATCAGCTGGTGGCTACTGGAAAGTAAGAAACATCTGGTTTAAGGGGAAATGGGGTTTAACCTCATTCCTTCCCCGCCCCATATCAGCCCCATGTCACCGGCCGTTTCACCGCTCGTGATATAAGCGCGGGTCATACGTGGTGTGATCAGAAGCATCAGTTGATTTAAGCAGGGTCATGTAGCCTTAGCACGCGCTCGGGTGAGGCAGGGGTTCCATTGATTGAACCCTCCGAAAGTTTTTCCAGAATTGTCACCGAACGGTGCGGCGTAGCCGTGCCAAAGTTTGCATAAAAACGTTAGACGAAGCCATACATCTCTGATATACTTTCTTAGGCAACACAACAAATTGTTGAATGGGCAAATTACACTGACCTAAGGTCAGGTATGAGGGTCAGACCGAGGTCAAAACCCACCTGTTTTATTACTCTAGGGTTTGCTGTATGGGATAGTTTCTGGTGTTCATTTCGAATTAAGTGATAGCAGGAACCGCATTGTACATCTTCCATGGACTTATAAGAGGAGGTCAGAGTAGGTCATTGACCTAAAATGACCAAGGTCAACATTTTGTTTTTAGGAACATACTGCCCAGCGTAATCTTTGTTGCTTATTAAAATGCGCAACTCAGATCGATCTTGAGTGATTTTGGTCACAATGACCTTCAAAAGGTCAAACAAGGTCACTGAACTTAAATGAGCATGTGACCTTTTGCTTAGAAATGGTTGTCTAGGTTCTGGGAGCACTTTGGAGACCAGCCTAGAATTTACCTTGTTTGACATTATTTGAGCAGAAGGTCATGACCTAGGAAACTGAAGCTTTGACCTAAATGAGTTCACGTGCAGGTCAACACATCCTGTAAATTTGCTGTGTCTAGATTCCGAGATCGCGGGGAGTCAAATTGACCTCCCACCCGTGCGAAGGGTATCCAGTCCGCCCCCGGACGGGTGTTAATGCATTGTTTCAAGTGTACCCATTAAGCATTGCCTTTAGAATGAAGGTTTTTAAACATTCAAGTTCCACTGTTAGAATGCCTTGGGCAAATTAACACCGTGTTTCCTTGCCACAAAAATAAAATACTGGCAAAAGGAACCGCAAAAAGAATCATACCCTCCATTGGCAAACTACGTGTGCTAGCTTAAGGACGACAATAACAACATTTGGAACCTCATTTTCACAAATGAGGAGGGCGTGGTGAGCCAAGTCAAATACCTGTCTGGGCTAGGTAACAGTGACCATGTGGTAATCAGATACACTTTGGTCTGCTACTCCGGGCTACAAACTCCTCGTCCCAGCCAGCTGACACACACAAATCATGAGCATCTGCCTGACACTCCCAGGTCAATGGACTGGTCCCTGATGGAGAGCCTGAGCCTCGAAGATGCTTACAAGTTCTTCAAGGAAAGAATTGCCAGGGCTACTGAGGTTTGCTCCGTCAGGAGAAGGACTAAACCTAAGAAGAACTTATACATGAAGCCAAGGGCCATGCAACTAAAGAAGACTGAGGAAAGACTATGGCGAACGTACACGCGGCCTCAGGACGTTCTGGACCATGTCAGGTTTGTGCGTTGTCGCAATGACCTGCGGAAGTTGACCAGGTACCTTCGGAAAGAGCATGGGATTAAATTATTAGCAGACCTGAAAAGAGACCCCAAGGCCTTTTAGAGGTACGCCAACTCTAGACTACGCACATGACACAGGGTAGAAGACCTTCTTGACGATGATGGAGTGTTGACCAGCAGTAACGAAGGGAAGGCCGATGTCCTCTGTAAATTCTTCGCCAGCGTTTTTACGGACGAAGGGACTAGCGCCATGCCTGTGTTTCCGTGCAACTTTACTGGACCGTTACTGGATGACGTGGCCATCTCTACCCAGGCAGTGGCAAAGAAATTGGCCGCTCTGAAGACCTCGAGCGCCCCTGGGCCAGACGATGTCCATCCAAGGCTTTTTCGTGAGTCCGCAGATGTCCTGGCAGCACCCCTCAGCATGTTTCCGAAAATATTTGGCATCCGGAAGGCTCCCCCTGAAGTGGAAACTTGGCGAGGTAATCCCGACCCTCATGAAGGGTAACCGACAATCTCCAGCGAGCTACCGCCCAGTGAGCCTTCCTGCCATTTTCTCCAAGATACTCGAAACTTTCGTCCGTGGTGCCCTACTTAATCACTTCTCGGAGTCTGGACTTCTTCATGCAACCCAGCATGGGGTTCTCCCTAAGCGGTCCTGTACCACCCAGCTGTAATAGGTCATAAGGATTGGAGCGCCGCGGTAGAGGATGGAGAGCTGGTAGACGTGGCGTACCTGGGCTTCAGCAAAGTTTTTGATTTTGTTCCCCATAACCGTCTGCTCTCCAAGCTTGATGCTTACGGTGCGAGAGATAACTTGCTACGCTGGATCAGGGCCTTCCTTACCCACCGGATGCAGAGAGTGCGGGTCCAGGGCTCGAAGTCGGACTGGGCCGCCGTCGTCAGCGGCATCCCGCAAGGGTCAGTACTTGGACCAACGCTGTTCATAATGTTCGTGAACGATCTGCCAAAACAAGTGCGAAGCGTGGTCAAGATTTTTGCGAAGGACACCAAAGTCTGCTGATGTGTCCCGAGGCCCCTGACTATTTCACCTCTGCAGGCTGACCTCGACGCCCTGGCCAAGTGGTCAAAGGAGTGGTTGCTCCCCTTTAGTGCATCAAAGTGCAAAATAATGCACATCGGAAACTGCAACCCGACGCTGACGTAATTCTTGGACGGCGCCGAAATCGCGGTTGAGGCCACCGAGAATGACATCGGGATCTTCGTGGATTACCGGTACCAGTTCCACGTGCAGACGGCGGAAGCGATCTCCAAGGCCAACCAGATGCTGGCGGTCGTGAGGCGGTCCTTTGCCAATATCGATGTTCGCACGTTGCCAATGCTCTTTAAGATCTTAGTACGTCCTTACTTAGAATATGGCAACGCTATCTAGGGCCCGTTCGACAAACTGGACCAGAAGCGGCTGGAACGGATTCAGCGACGAGCTACCTGGCTTGTCCATGAAGTGAGGCGCCAGCCATACCCTGAGAGGCTCAGACTCCTTCAGTTGCCCTCACTGTACTATCGTTGTAGTAGGGGAGACATGGTAACAGTGTACCAGCTATTTCACCGAGGTATCTCGCCGTCGGAAGAGGGGTTCCTGACAAGGCACAACTCGGAGGTGACGAGAGGACTCAAATGGAAGCTCAGAAAACCTCGAGCTAGGACTTTCGTCCGTCGTAAATCATTCAGCACGCGGGTTGTCAACGACTGGAACGCTCTTCTTCACCCGGTCGTGTCGTCGACTTCAGTTGAACAGTTCAAGTCAAGGCTCGGTACGCACTGGGCTGACATCATGTACAACGTCCCACACTGAATCTTCTCATAATTTGAGACTGTTTGGTTACCGGACCGGGAGCCTGACGAGACTGGGACCTATAGGCCTAGTGGCCTGTTGCAATTCCCGATCACCATAAGGTAAGGTAAGGTAAAGTATTTGGTAACGGATAGTCCGTAAGTTACACAATGCCGGCGCAGTAGTTGCGTTGAGTTGGATATTTACGCCGCCGGGGCACATTCCTGCAAGGAGTGGAGCGGGCGGGGGAGGAGTACAACGGAATACTTTTGCTGACAACATCGGATTTTAGGTTGGTTGTTCTGAAAGATGAGCATGTTTGCCTGTTGCGTTCCCACCAGCACACTGTTGTTACCTGTAAGGTTGCCGTAACGGTGATTGACCGCATGGAGCGCAGGCAAAACAACGGTGGACCGCAAGTCATAGTCCACCCTCATTTCGTGAAAACCGGCATCATTCTCTTTATGATTTTTGGGATCAGCCTCCCAAATCAAAATGTTTGTTACACCCACTTTTGGAATGTTGTGTTGTATGTTACCCGAAGCAAGATCATTCCAGGAATCCACAACTTGACTGGTATGCCTGGGATGTGGAAACTGTTCAATCATTTTGCTTGCAGTTTATTTTTGCGATTACAATTGAGTGCAGCCTTGGAGGTGACAAGTCATAGCATTAACTGGGGCATATTTTTAGTTTGGATCCTCAGATGGGAGAGCAAACATTGTAGATTTAGGTGTGATGTGACAATATCATTTGAGGAACACAAATATGGTATTATTTTTCGCACACTGGCTGTGCCCATCACCTTTTGTAATGCAGCAGCCTGCAACCCAATTTATAATTAAATTCATCCTTCCTGCCAAATGGTGATGCAACATCAGTATGCTCAACCTTGTGCTCACATAAGCCTAGATTCCAACAAGCTCAAATTATGGGGAATTTTTAATTCATGGTGATGTGAAAATATGTTTGATGAGTTTTGCAGGAAATTTTCTGTCTCAGTATCAGAATTCCCAGAAACTTTGGCTTTGTATGCCCTAAAATTGTTGGTGACAATGCACCAAGCTCAGAGGGCCCATATTTATAGTGCACACACATCTAAAATTTTCCTGTAATGTTGCTGCATGTGATACACATCCAGCATATCATGCATTTCCATAGTCTGGCCTGCAAATGAGCATCACTCATTGAGCTACATCAAGGTGAAGATATTATATGAAATAAAAAGAGTATGGTAAGGAAATGCTCTGAAAAAATTAGCAAAAGGACATTGTTCAAGGCTTTATGCAGCTGGCCATAGCAGGCTAACCCGCAACATAGAAATGATTCCTTTAAAAAATTGTGACATGAGATAGTGATTAGTTCTTGGTTATTTTGATATCACACTTCAATTTCTTTAGTAGTTTGCATAACATTTTTGTTGGTCTCAAACCCACATAAAATGTGACTTGATCCATCTATAATGGCCTTTGAGTATGGACACAGTGAGTGAGTCAAGGTGTTAAATCCTTTTTTAAAGGAATTTTACATCAGGCATCTAGAAAGTATGTTCCCAAAACTTTTGTTTTGGAACCTAGTCTTTTATGATTTGTGTACATGAAACATTTTTATTCAAAGCACTAATGCAGTGCTAAGGAGTGATACATTTGTGTGTACAAGCTATAAACCAGTATTTTATATATTGACCCATATGGATGGCAAATGATCTGGTATGAACTTGTATTCTTGGTGGCATGCTGCAGCAGCAATTGAAACATGTTACTGTGTGATGGGATGGGAAAGTTGTTAGTAAATATAGTGCTGATTGCTCTGGGCTCAAGTCTAGCTGTTAGAAACAGTATAATACTCCAGCCAAACTTTTTACAAATGAGTTGCTTGGTGGAATGGAAATATGTAAAAGTTGAATGGAATGTAATTCGGGAAAAAGTTGAGATAAGCTCAGGAAACTCAATTCCTGGTTGATTTTTGGATCTTGTGGTCAGCAGGAAAGAGATGCACACTAGTGACACTGTACCTTCCAGGACCAGCGATCATTATCATCACTATAATGGTATTATCCCACAGCCAGTTCTTAGAAAATAACTATTTAATTAGATGAGCTAGTGCACCCCCCATCAACAGCATGGAATGGTTGCTGTGGTGACCTGGTCAGTCAAGCATGATGCTATCATCTGTTTATGTATGTTAATCCCTTCTATGTTATTATGTCCACTTATATATGCTATGGTTAATATATTATATCATGTATTGGTGCAGTTGATGTCATTGTATTGATGAGAAGCTAACTTCTCATTGTTATAAGATGAGGAACATTTTATATTTGTTTAAGCTGGCCACATTCCCCAATCACAAATCTTCATATTACAAATCATCATTTTTAACAACCCTCCCAAGCCAAACAGGATACAAAGAAATAATTTGAGGTCAGCAGGCATGCTAGTTTCCTATACAAGTAGGCATGCTGCCATATTTCCCTTTCCTACAAAAGCATCACTCCAATGATCCAGGTGGACCCTTCTCACAGTTCCCCTCAGTCTGTGGAAGGCCACATTCCTAGTTTGTTAACCACAAGTGCATTACATGGGGAACTGAGCACCTGATGCTCCTCCTGATTACCTTATGCAGGGGCTTTTGCAGGTACTGAGTCACTGATCAATAAGGAGCCTCAGGGTCAGCTGCCCAGCTGTGTCCAGTCATGAAGAAATGCAGGCTGCTTGCAGGCACTCCTTAGATATGATCAATGAGTTGAGATGAGTTGAGTATGATCAATGAGATGAGATATACAGTATCAATTGCTGTGCCTTTCTTATATGTTAAGTGTAATCAAGATACAATAAGGGTTACCAGGGCTATCAGTTTCTAGATCTCAACTGACAATGCCTCTCTGTATGCCTCCCACACAATGACTGACTTACTTGGTGACCGAGCACTCACTCTAACATGACTGACGAAATATACAAATATGGTCGAGAACAGGCTATCACATGCAGTACCACAAAAATAATCCAACAAACAGAACATTCTTACACAAACACAATAGCATCATTCACCGTTGCTTACATTTAAAGGTGGCCCAATACCAGTCCATCGCGCTCACACTTGCCTTGGCGTGCCCTTGTCCAAAGCTCTCCGTTTTTACCAACACATTAATAAATAATGCCACCAAGTATGAATAAACTTAGGCTTTTTAGCTGATAGCCCAACACATACCAAAATTCATTCTTGAGTACAAATAGATATACGTTGGACCTCTTGTTGACTGCAGCGACACCATCTACGACGGGCATTTCACAACGCGGGGCGCGATCAGACGTGAAGCACCACGAAACAGAGCCGCGAGCCTGGTGACTGGGGCCCTCTTCAGAACGCTGTCCGAAGAGCTGCGAGCTGAGGTAGGAGAGGATAGACTGACAGTGAGGTGGCATGTACACCGACTGACGCCGTTTTCTAAAATAAACGACCCAGGACAACGTACGCCAAACTACGTCATAGCAAACGTGCGAAATGCCCGCGCTCAAGATACTAACAGAGATCTTAAAAATGTGGGCGCAGCTACACTGCAGCCTCTAATCGCACGTCGCCTTACTGCAAATCAAGTTTGAAAAGAACTAGTAAGCGATGGGATGAACTGCACAAAACCACACACCTCACCCACCTGGCTTCAAAAATAGCCTTTGAGCGGTTGGGACGGCCCGATCTACTCCATTATTCCACGGTACGACCAAAAGGAGGAATTATTCTGAATGTCAGGCTATGAATAGATATGTCCTGCTCAAACATTTATAATTCATAGAACATCCTGGCCGGTGCGGCTGGTCTGGCCAATCCTGGCCGGTGTGGCCAGTGTGGCCAATCCTGGCCGGTGCGGCCGGTCTGGCCAATCCTGGCCGGTGTGGCCGGTGTGGCCAATCCTGGTCGGTATGGGCGCCAAATTTAAAACATTCGTCGTGATGTCCTCTCATGCCCAAAGTATATAGAGCAACAGAACAATCTATCTGATAGCATATCTCAAAGTTAGCACGCCGATTTTGGAGACCAGTTACCTCATCTATGGCTGTTATGGCATGGTGCATATCTCAGCGGTGGTGACGGTTGGATGGTGGCCCACCATTGTCAAAATATTCTGATTAATTCAGACCGTCCACCGACCGCTAGCGTTGTCAATGACCCCTCACCATACCACATACACGTGGTATCCCCGGTGAGGCGTGTGATGACTGACCATCTAGACGCATTGAGTAGCTGAGCGAACCGTACCGTGGCGCTGGTGACGGTTTGGCATTTATTATGGTCTATTTCAGGCAAGGTGCTTTCATTGAAGCTTTTGCCTTGCCGTCTTTTTTGTTCACGCTGACATATCGCTGCATGCCTTATTTCATAAACGTGATGCTGATGAGGATGAGTATACAACAATTTTGTGCAGGAGGAACATGCAGCCAAATGTCGAAAGTCTCACCGACAGATAACACTTGTCCACAGCACTGCACATTTGGTCCTTTCAGGCACTGCATGTAACATCTATCTTCATTCACAGACAGTCTGCGCTTTGAGCGAGAGAAAGAAAAAGAGGGAGTAATTTCGCTACAGAGAGGGAGAAAGAATTTCGCGCTCTGACGCAAACTCACTGGCATGAAGAAGGCCGAGATCGACATCACATTACCGAGCATGCCCACGGATGAAGAGATTTCGGATGATGTGGAGAGCGCTACCACAGAGGACGCCGTGTTTGCCGAGCTGGCCGAGCGGCTGGCGGCGGCCGGCGGCGAGCAGCAACCTGGCTCTGAGGCGCTCTTCCTGCAGGCGCACCGGCTGGTCAACACCAGCCACAAGCTGCGTCACGGCTCGCGCCACGTGCGCCGCCAGATGGAGCTGCTGCTGCGCGAGCGGGCCCGGCTGGCGCTGCTGGTCAGCGAAGCCGGTGGACACCTGACCGCAGAGCGGGCGGCCGGCAGCGACAGCGGCGCGCCAAGCGGCGAGGGCGGCCACGGCGTCACGGGACAGGGGACCCAGGCTGCCGCCGCCGGCCTTGGCGCCGAGAACTGACGCGGGGTAGACCAACAGGAAGCCGATCGTGTGGCTGGCTGGCTGTGTTCCAGGCGCTGAGAAGCGAGGGCGGCCTTTTGACCAGGGGGCGGGTGACCGACGCTCCTACCATGGAAGGTGGCGCCCGCAGAAGAGGTGCTTGTTAAGGGCCTGGGAGCAGGCAGCCGGGAAGGCTCGAGCTCTAGTGATCGGGGTTCCCCGGCTCGCCTTGATCACTAACGGCGCCGGGCACTCTTGTTGTGCGGTGAAGTGTGTGATCCATTGGGGCTCTTTTTGATGAGTTCATCGTACAATAGTTGTTTTGCTGCATATGCACGCGTGTTGACCAAAACAGTCGGACGTTCGAATAGCCACGTTCGTTTTTGGAGGCATTCGCCGGAACCCATTCGTAAAGCCTCCACATGAAACGTGTGGAGGCTCTGTGCGCCAGTGCCTCACGCGAACTCGTACTCGGCTGTCCGTCGACATATTCATGGTGGCCTTGCAGCAGAGGCTCTTGAAAATACAACATTACGTTCGATCTACAGCAGTTTGTACCCTCAACAAGCACCTACCATCATGCAGCACACGTGGCATGTAGCGTCCCGGTCGCGCCAGACATCTCCAGTCAGCGCCGGCAGCGATGCCCCACCGAGACAGCTTCATCGGCCGGCCAGAAGGTGGCGGCAGAAGCGGCGCGATTGAGCGCAGGCGTCAACGGCAAAGAATGCCTTGAAAGAGTCCCGCGCCAGCATCACGATCACCGGCGGGCTGTTGCCACTGTCGCGGCGCGCGGCCTCCTGTCGGGGCAGACGCAGGCGCGGGCGAGGGTCGTGCACGGCCGGGCCGACGTGACTGACGTCCGCCTCTGTCGACAGCGATGTCGCCGCTGCTGCTGCTGCTGTGCGTTGCCAGCCTGGCGGGCGGGGGCCTGGCCGACCTGGCGCTGCCGCGCGGCGTGTCGGTGGCGCGCGCCAGCCTCTACACCAGCAGTGACACCTTCACTTGTCTGGACGGCTCTGACACGGTACCGTTCGGCTACATCAACGACGACTACTGCGACTGCGCCGACGGCAGCGACGAGCCGGGCACCTCGGCCTGCGCCAGCAGCCACTTCTACTGCCCGAACCGCGGCCACGCCGCCGTCGAGGTGCCCTCGGCCTGGGTTAACGACGGCGTCTGCGGTGCGTACCCCGCCGCGGCCTTGCGTCAGGGGAGCGGCTGCCCGCGGTACTCCCGTCGCCCCGGGAGGGCCGGCAGGGTGACTGGGTGTCAAGGGAGCAGCTGTCCCGCGGTACTCCCGTCGCCCCGGGGGGGCCGGCAGGGTGACGGGGTGTCAGAGGAGCGGCTACCTCCCGGTACTCTCGTGGCCCCGGGAGGGCCGGCAGGGTGACGGGGTGTCAGAGGAGCGGCTACCTCCCGGTACTCTCGTGGCCCCGGGAGGGCCGACAGGGTGACGGCGCGCGGCTACTAGAGTGGAGGACCTGCTCCGGCCACCTCATGGGTGTCCAGTGCGTGTCCACTGGGGTAGGCAGGACTGCTGGCAGGGTCACTCATCGCGCATTGCTTGTTTGATTACGTCGAGGCTATGCGCTTCCGGAAATGCAATGCATGCAATGCCGTTGGCTCCGATGCAGCCAGACGTGAGCCCGTCGAACTGACCGTTGTCTGGCCCGGTGTCGCCAGATTGCTGCGACGGCTCCGACGAATACAGCAGCGGCGCGTGCGCCAACACGTGTGAGGAGCTCGGGGCCGAGACGCGGGCCCGCCAGCAGCAACTCAACGAGATGCGCCTCAGGGGATACGAGGTCAAGCTGAAGCTGATCGAGCAGGGCGAGCAGAAACTTAACGAGAAAAAGGTCAGAAGGCCGTCCAGGCCGCATACGCAAGCATGGTATACATTGACGTTCATTGCATTGGGGTGAAGGGTTTGCCTTCTTTGCGATGAGTAGGTGAGGCAGTAGCTTCCCTTGTTTTCGCTCTATTGAAACGATACCAACCGGTCATTTGCCGAGTAACATTTTGTTGACGCTGATTTCCTCGGGCGGTACTGGGCGTGGCCGGAGCATCGTCAGACGTGCCCTCTGGATGCGGCATGGGTACGGGTCGCGCGTGGGTAGGTCCTCGGGTAGGCTTGTCCGGTTCGGGGAGGGGTTTTTACTCTGCAGGCGACGCGTGGGCCCCGCCTCCCCTCCCCCCCCCCCCCCCCTCCCCTCCCATCTCTCGCTCAACATCGATCGGCCGCCTATCCGTCCCCAGGTTCGTCTGGCCGAGCTGGCCCGCGAACAGGAGGTGGCCGAAGGCATCAAGACGCAGCGCGAGGCGGCCAAGGACGCGGCCGAGGAGCAGGAGCGACTGCTGCTGGAGGTCTGGCAGGAGGCGCGCCGTCAGCAGGAACAGGAGCAGGAGGCCGCCTCCAAGCAGCAGGCCGAAGAGACTTTCACCCGGCTGGACGCGAATGCCGACGGAAAGTGAGCAGACGGGGGGAAGGAGTCAGGGCCGCGTGCAAGGATTTGCACATGCAAGGCCACAGATCAAATGTTTCCAATCATAAGCCTGAAAGGCATTCAAAATTTACTAGCGGCGCACTTGATTCATGCGGTTGGTCTCATCGCGGATCGCACGCCTTCCTCGTGTTGGACGCTCGCCCTCCGCCTCTGACCCTACGGTCTTCGAATACGTGCCAGGCAACTGGCGCTGACGGTTTGGTGGTGGTGGTGCGCGCTCTGTCGCACAGTAGGCCGTGCAGCGTAAGCCGGCTCAGCTATTCCGCTGTCCCGGCTCCGGTCATCCAGCCCCAGTCGATTGGGACCAGTCGACCGTAAGTCCCCGTCGGTTGTGTCAGGATGTGTATGCCGCCATGGTGTGCCGGTGACGCGTGCTGGCTCCTGCGCCGCCCGCCGCCGCCGGGGCTGACTCGGCGTCGTGTCCGTGTCAGGCTCACGGCGGAGGAGCTGCAGCAGGAGAGCAGGCTGGACAGGAACGCCGACGGCACCGTCTCCAAGGACGAGGTGGACGTCATCACCATGAACAAGGACGAGGTGAGCGCATGTGGAGCCCAGGAGAACGGCGCCGTATTGAAGGGCTTGTTACTGCGTATGGCTCTGTATTGGGGCCAGGCTGTGTGTGTGGGGGGGGGGGGGGGAGGGAGTATTGATAGAATAACACTCCAAAGATGGCTTTTCTGAATCTTTTTAGTTTGTGGTCTTTTTTGATGTACTTGAAATAAAAAAGGCCATTAAGCCCTGGTTTTTCGATATTGTCAGCCCAAAGCTGTCTTTTTTGTTGAGTTAATGACTTTTAGTATACCAGGAGGTACTGGTTAAACTACGCTGTTTTGCTCAACAGTCATTGCTTAGCACTACAACTACTACTCTTTAATTTGCCTTTAGCGCCTGGTATATTGAAGGTTGTAAACTCAACATCAGAACTCCTAACTTGGAACGTTTTTCCCGATGTCTTGCTCTTACGGTGGTAAAATAAGTTTGATAAGTGTACAAACTTCTTCATGTGCATCGTTGTCACCTACATACCCTCCAAGCACATTCGTTTCTCTTTACTCCGTCTTACCTGAGCCGCTGATAACTGTTCTCTCAAATGAGCTTAGCCCGCCTTGGTTTGAACTCATTGTCTACGAGAAGTGGCGCGGTAGCCTCAGATCGCAGCACGCCACACTGGCGCTCCTGCTGAGGCTGGTCAGATTGGCGGGCCGCCCATTAGCGCTATCCGCTGATCCGGGCTTCTGTTCCCGCAGCTGGAGGTGGAGGAGTTCGTGAGCAGCACGTGGCCGCTGCTCAAGTCGCTCCTCCACGTGCCGGACGGGGAGGCCACCCCACCGCCGCCGCCGCCGACGGACACCGCCGATCAGCCCGATCAGCCCGAGGAGCACGAGGAGGACGAAGACGACGAGGAGGTGCGGCTCTGCGGCGCTGCTCTTCCCGCGCCCAGCAGGGCTTTCGGTCGGCCCAGCCGTCCCCGGCCTACAGCACACCCCGGACATGTTATGCGCTTTGCAAGGGAACTTCTTCCTCTTCTTTGGAGGACCATAAGAATCAGTGTTCCGACCGTCAAGCCGGCACGTGACGTCACGTGCGCGAAGCCTCTGCTGTGTGCAGTTACTGCGCTGATCAGGCTCTAGCACCTGCTTCACCGTCCATTTGTGTAACTATGTGAGGTGACGCTTCGCTGCGCCGTCGGCCACGTGACCGTGCCCGGTCCTCCGCCGCCAGCTGCTGACGGAGGACCCGTACGAGTCGCCGGACGACGAGGACTCCGACGAGGACGAGGACCGCGAGCTGGACGCTGACCGCTACCGCAGGAGGATGAGCGTGCCTGCGGAGCCGGCCGCGGAGCCTGAGTACGACGAGGCCACCCAGGCGGCCGTGGACGGTACGTGCTGGCACCAGAGCCGCGACCAGGGCGGAGGCGGGGGCGGCCGGCGGCCGGCGGCCCGCCGCCCGCGGCCCGCCGCCCGCGGCCCGCCGCACGGAGCTGTCCGACGCTCCACTGATGGTCGGATGACCAGGCTTCAGTGACCAGAGCTTAGTGACCAGGAGTGAAGCGTGCCACCGAGAGTTGATGCGGTGTTTGATTTAAATTGTTTATTGTGTTTGTGTTCCCATTCACTTGATCTGTGAAGATGTAGGTCTCGATACACAGTATAAACAGCACACACACGCAGGCACGAATGTACGCACAGATTCCGATAAACGCAACGTTTATTTTGGACAAATGCTGTCACTGTGCGAGCCAGATACTGAGGCGGAGGCATTGATGGTGATTGATTGCATTTAAGGCTGCGTATACACGGCTCGCTACGGTATTACCCGATGACCCTGTGGTTTCCTGTTGCGATGCCTGACCACAGCGGCCAGGCAGGCCCTGTCCCTGGATCCTGTCTGACCGCCGCCCCCTGACCACAGCGGCCAGGCAGGCCCTGCCCCTGGATCCTGTCTGACCGCCGCCCCCTGACCACAGCGGCCAGGCAGGCCCTGCCCCTGGATCCTGTCTGACCGCCGCCCCCTGACCACAGCGGCCAGCCAGGCCCCGTCCCTGGATCCTGTCTGACCGCCGCCCCCTGACCACAGCGGCCAGGCAGGCCCCGTCCCTGGATCCTGTCTGACCGCCGCCCCCTGACCACAGCAGCGGCCAGGCAGGCCCTGTCCTGGATCCTGTCTGACCGCCCCCCTGACCACAGCGGCAGGGCAAGGCCCCGTCCCTAGGGATCCTGTCTGACCGCCGCCCCCTGACCAAAAGAGGCCAGGCAGGCCCCTTCCCCTGGAGCCTGTCTGAAACCGCCGCCCTGACCAGGCCCGTCTGTAGCTGACAGAGTGGCCTCAGCGTGACCGCGCAGCAGTCCCCGCGATATTCGCTTGTGGTTCCACGTGCCACGGGGAGGGCGGGGGGGGGGGGGGGCTTTCGATATTAGCGGGTTATTTAGACGTGTGAGCGTTGTGTGTATATTTTTTACCTTTTGTGCGCTGAAGCGTGTGGTGACATCCGCCTGACGTTCTTTCCCATTTTTGGCTATTGTGTTTTTCTGAAGCTATCCATTCGTAGTCTTATTACTGTAATATCCGGGCAGCAGTTCACATGCCTTCTGTTACGTAGCACAAAAGCCAGATCACAATAAACGAAGGTCCTAGCCCACGCGCGCGTCCACGGGCGTCTGGCACGACCCTACACTGCCCGGCATCAGGGATACTCCCCCCCCCCCCCCCCCCCCGTTGTTGTGCCGAGGAGGGAATGGGTAAGGTTGTTGTCGGCTTCGCATGTCCGCCGTGCTTCAGCCTTTCCAGCACTCGGTGGCAGGCGCTGCGGGCCTCCACACTTTGTCTGGCTTCTGTGTGACGGGTGTTCCCCGACGGCAGCGGCCAAGCTGGCCCGATCCGAGCTGCAGGAGGCGGAGGGACAGCTGGGCACCATCCTTCGAGAGATCAGCGGTGTGGAGGCGTTCACTGGCCTCGACCTGGGGCCGGAACGCGCCTTTGCCGGCCTCTACCACGAGTGCTTCGTTCTGGAGAACCGCGAATACGAGTACAAGCTCTGCATGTTCGACAGGGTGAGTGAGATGGGGAGGTGGCGTCCCGGCTGCTGCAGTGGTGGAGCAGGCAGGAGTAGATTGCAGCGGCAGCAGTGGATGGCGGCGTCACGTTTGCGGTTTGTCCGGTTTTTCTTCGCCCCGCGCGCGAACGAAGATCGTTCAGTCAGTTCTCGTTCCGGCGTGGCGGTTCGCTGGGGTGTCAGAGTTACCTGGTGGTTAGCTCCCTGTGGCCTATGCAATAACCGCACGCGTAGATGACGCGATTGAACTGCAGATGGTTGGTGTGACCGGGCGCCTCACGCGCCGTCACGCCAGGTGTTTGCTCAAACGTCCCTGGAGTGATGTCGCGACTGCGGTGTGTGCCGAGTGCCTGCCCCACGGCCAGTGGCAGTGAGGGCGCGGCCGCTGATAGCGCTCGGTCCACAGGCGTCGCAGAAGCCCCGCAGCGGCGGCGTCGAGACGTCCCTGGGCAAGTGGGGCTCGTGGGAGCAGCCCGACCAGAACGGCTACACCCGCCAGCTGTACGAGAACGGCCAGCAGTGCTGGAACGGCCCGAAGCGCTCTGCCCACGTGAGTGCGCCGCCGGCGGGGGGCGCGTCGACCGCGGGCGGTCGCCCACTCGGACGTGCCGAGTCGCTGCCGTGGGACGGCCGCGTCCTGGCCACGACCCGCTGATTGATCGGCGGCCTTTGTCCTCTGAACGGCGGCATTGCGAGGACGGCGCCGGTTCGCAAATGAACGACCCGGTAATGTCGGGCTGTAGTTGGGTTTCCCTGTGAATGCCTCCGCCGTCGACAAGGATCTTGGTAAGGCTGGAGTGAGGCTTGTGGCTTCATCGATTCGGATATTGCGACACACGCGTGGGCATGCGTGCCGGACGGGTGGTCCCTTTGAGTCCGTTTAGGCACCGCCAGTGGAGCGCCGGCGTGGGCCGTGCTTGCTCGGGCCGCGGCGCTCGCTCGGGGCCGCAGCGCTCCGATGACGCCGTGGCCCGGGATGCTGGCGGTGGCGGCGCGGTTCGACGAACGCTCGTGAGCCCGGCGTGGCGCGCCAGCGGGCGGGGCTGAGCCGGTCAGAGCCGTCGAGCCGTGCCCGGCGCCGGCCAGGTCAGCGACGGACGCGCCGACCGAGGGTCCGCAGAGACGGGCTGCTCGTAACGCAGCCGCCTGTGCCGGGCAGGCTCGCAGACAAGGTACACACTTCAGCGCAGAGTGCTCACTGTCCCATTCACTGCTCCTCTCCGACTGTCTGAACCAAGCTCCTGGATTTACAGTGTTGGCACCGAGCCGCGGCGGCGGTGGCCACGCGCCGTGGTACCCATATGATCCGTGTTCACGGCCTTCAGTTCTGCTAGTGGTACGATGCCAATCAATGGTCGTAAATATGCTGTATTTCCAGTGACGGGACGGACGCCAAAACTTAAATTGACTGGGCTTGAGGTCTTTTGTAAGAGCGGGTACGCGTCCTCGCAGCTCCCTTCCAAGACGGAAGCTGCCTGTGGCATAGCCCATCGAAGCCAGGTACTCGCTTGAGGTATTGTAGAATGTATTGTGCATCGATGACGCAGACGGTCGCGAGCACCTCGTTCACGTGGCACATTCGTCGCCCCCGGCAGCTGTCACCGGCGCTGGGTCGCGGCGCGCCCTGACCCCGGGCGTGACGCGGCGCGGCTCCGGCGACGGCGATGGCGGCGGCCTCAGAGCTCGCTGGCCGCCAGCTGCGCCGCCGCCTGCCGAATCCAGCGGCCGTACAGGGCGACTCGCGTGTACAGGTTGGGGAAGACGGGCGTGCCGCAGCCGGCCGCCTCGCGCATCAGGCCCACCAGCTGGAAGCGGCCGCGCGCGTCGACCGAGACGAGCGGGCCGCCGCGGTCCTGCGGGCAGCGCCGCTGCGGCGTGTCGTCCACCGCCGCCGACACGCACACCTCGCTGGGGCCCACGCCCAGCGGGAATTCGCGCCGGTACGTGGGCAGCACGCGGAACGCGGCGTCGCAGTCGACCGCCGAGATCTCCTTCATGGGCGTGGTGGTGAGCGGGCCGGCCGGCGGCGCCGCGCCGAACGGGCTAACGCCACGGCCGAGCGCGAATAGCGCACGTGCCGGCCTGCCGCCGACGGCCGGCAGGCAGACGGCCGCGTTGGCCGGGCTGTCGTCGAGCAGCAGCAGTGCCAGGTCGTGCCGGCCGCCGTCGTGCAGCGGGTGCAGCACCGTACGCAGCACGGCCAGCTTGACGTCGCTGATCCGCACGGCCAGCGAGCTGGCGCTGCGGCCGCCCACGCAGCGCGCCGCCGTCAGCAGCAGGCGGCGGCCGACCAGCGCGCCGGCGCACAGCCAGCGCCGGCGCGTGCCCACCAGCGCCGCCCACGGCGCGCCGGCGCGGCCACATGCGCGGCCGGCCAGCCGCGCCGGCGCCGGCGTGGGAGCTGAGGTCGGTGCTGAAACCGGAGTCGGGGCCGGGGTTGTGGACGGGGTGGGCCGCGCCGCGGGCCGCCCCGCGGTCGGGGCGGTCAGCTCCGTGGCCAGGACCGCTGATGGCCGCGTGGGAGCGGTGGGCTTGGTCGAAGCCGGCGCGGTCTTCCTGACCGGCGGCGCCACTTTGCTCGTGGTGGCCACCGCTTTCGTGGTGGCAGTCTTTGGCCTTTCCGTGGCTGACTGTCGCGGTGTGGTTTTTTGTGCCGCCTTGCGTGAAGTCTGCTGCGGCCTCACCGTCGTTGGCGCCTGTTTCCGTGTTTTCGCCGCCGTCTCGGCGGTCGTCGGGACCGTCTTGCCGGCCGATGCCGGCTTTTGGACCGGCCGAATGGCTGCGGCGGGCCGGCGGGCTGGTCCCGGCGCCGGCGGCGGCTGCAGCTGCCGGTCGGGCGGCGCCGTGGCCACCAGTCGCTCCGTCTGCGTGTTCGCCACGTCCACCGTCACCACTTGGGTCAGCGTGACGGTGGTGGTGGGCCGCACAGTCACCACGCTGACCGACGTGCTGGTCACCACCCGGGTCTTCGACGGCGGTGGCGGCGGCGCCGTGGCTGGCTTCGGCGGCGGCGGCGCGGCCGGCTTCGGCGGCGGCGGCGCGACAGGCTTCGGCGGCGGCGGCGACAGCGTCAGCGACGGCTTCCGTGGCCTGGCGTCCGGACAGCAGTAGATGACGTACGGGCCGTCCTTGCGGCAGAGGCTTGGCCGCGCCGCCAGCAGCGACTGCAGCGTCGGGTAGGCGGCGCAGCCGTTGCCCTCGGCGGTGGAGACGCAGTGGCCGGGCCGGCCCTCGGGGGTGTGGCAGGCGTCGCCGGTCGGGTCGTCCGGCTGCTGCGGCCGGCCGGCGGCGGAGCCACACAGCAGCGGCAGCAGCAGCAGCGCCAGCAGCTGGGTGCTCCGGTGCGGGGCGGGCATGGTGGCCGACTGAGCGCTGACCAGACCGGTCCCTGACTTACACAGCGCCGCCGGTCTCCCCCCCCCCCCCCCCCCCTCTGGCCTCCGTATCGGGAGAGGCCGGTGGTGGCTGGCAGGTCGGTGCCAGGATCCGTTACGGTCGTTACGGCGGATGCGATCAAGGGATTACTGAAAACGTTCTGGTCTTAACATGCCAATATTGTCGGGAAAGGCCTTCAGATTCGGATTTTTTATGTGTGGGGTAGTGCATGTGCTCCTGGCAATACCGGTCTACTGGCGTAAGATTTGATGCATAAGCCAAGGGAGGGAGGCCGCCTGACGGATGGAAACTGTACACGGAAACTGGGCGTTCCAGAAATTGGCACAGAAAGTGGGTGGCAAAAGGAACTCTTGGCAGTCCTCGGCTGTTAATCCCTGCCTTATTTGATAACAGCCGTGAAGTCTTGTTTAAAGTTGCTACTTGTGGGAGGCTTGTATCACATCTTTCGTCTACAACGCACTGATCGCGTAGTCTCCACGGTTCCGCGCTCTGTGCGCAACGTCCCGCCGATACGAGGCTCGCAAAACCGCCGTCTTGATGAGCATAGTCCGTAGTCTTCACGAACAGCGAGCTTCGGTCCCCGTCCCCGTGACGTGAGGCACTGCCTCGCGCTAGGCTCGTGGTGCACCGCTGCTGACGCCCCGTCCTCGAGGTGCGAGGCTTCGGATCGTACCGTCGCTGCAATCGAAGGCCCTCAACCGCGCGGCATCTCGCATCCAACCAGCCATGACGGTGGCTTTTACTCTGCATGTATGTATGTATTAGTACAAAATCTTCACAACATGACTCTTCCGCTTTCCAAGTCAGCATATGCACTAAACGTAGCGTTGAACTAATCGATTAAGTCTTGTGCAATCTACGCACGAGCATATCATTTGAATATAGAAAAGCACCTTGGTTACACGATTCGCACAATCAGCCTGTACCAGTCCTATACACCTGATCGAAAAGGCCTAGCTGATAACAGTCGGCGGCAGACGCTCCCACCGGTAAGTGGCCCGACACGCAGCTGATCGACGGGCGAGTTCAGTTCTGACACGCGGAGTATGTAACAGAGGGCCTTAAGAAGGCCACCAGCCGGACGTCGCCGGAGGCTCGCGCCCGTCCTCGTGACTGGAGCGTCTGTACTGCGCAGCTCCTGGTAAGAGGTTCCGCGACACGCCCTCCTCTGGCCGATCCCTAGCTTCGGCCGGCATCTCGCCAGCCTCGCGCACCTGAGATAGGAGACCACTCACTAAGAGGCCCGTGGTCGCGGCTGATGGCTGGCCGCCGCCGACCATGAAGCATTGCGCACCTGAGAAAGCGAGATCGCTCACTAAGAGGCCCGTGGCCGCATCTGATGGCTGGCCGCCGCCGACCATAATCCCTGCCGGTACCTAGCTCCCCATTCCACACATCCTTTTCCGACTTAAGCCTGATCTCATTCAAGAGCGTTCTATCGACGTCGCTGCAGTTTTGTTGTCGTTGAATATATTGTTATTTTATGTGTTAAGTGAACTTGTAAACTGATATTATTTTCCTCCAGTTCTATCGTCACGAATAGAGATCGTTGCAGTGTACGTCTTGCCGCGGATTTTACCTAACGCCGCGATATGCATGTGGACATTGGAGGAGTTCCGTTCGGCTGACGTGTTCTGGCTGACTCACAGACGCAACTGTGATGGGATCTCCCGTGTCAGCCGGTGACGACTGGAGGATGGGGCGCGGACGGGTGCCGGTGCCCGGCTGACTGATGGGCTGCCATGCGGACACGGGGCGGTCGGCGTCCGGTGCGACACACACCCGGCGGCCGACCTGCCGCTGGGCGCGCGGCCGAGCCGGTCAGGCCGCGCGAGACGCCAGCGCTGGCGCGTCGGCTTCACACACGGCACCCGGAGCGGGACGTGCGGATGGTGAACTAGCGACGCTGCTGAGTCGCACGCGGCGTCTGTCGGTGCTGCGATTAGTTCGTCAACTCATCCGAAGTCGTCCCTTGTGACCCAGATGCTTGGCATGCTCCGGAGAAGCGTGACAGTCGAGTTGTGGAGACACGCTGCCGCGTCCTTGATTTATAAGCGGTTCCAGAAACTCAACGAGCTGCAGTCTTCAAGGATGAATTGCCGTCATTCGTCCTAAACGATAAGCCTTCTCGCACAATGCACTGATCGCAGAGATCACACGGCGAATAATGCCTCGGCCGCGGGCCGCGGGCTGCTGTCGCACTGCAGCCTGTCGCGGAAGTCAGCAGTATTTGCAGGCTGTCGCGGCCGTCTGCAGTCTGCAGTCCGTCTCGGTCAATATGGAGTCTCAGCCGTCTGTCTGTATCAGCCGTCTGCAGTCTCTGCAGTCTGTCGCGGCCGCCTGCAGTCTCTGTAGTCTGCCTGAGCCGTCTGCAGTCTCTACAGTTTCGCATCCGTCTGCAGTCTGTCGCGGCTGTCTGTAGTATTTGCAGTTCTTCAGTCTCTAGAGTCTGTCGCAGCCGCCTGCGGTCTCTGCCGTGTACCGCGGTCAATATGCAGCCTGTCGCAGCCGTCCGCAGTCTCCGCAGTCCGTTGTGTTCCGTCTCCGTCAGTTCTCAGATGGGGGGGGGGGGGGGGGATAGCGGGATCTGTGGTTGTGTCCTGATGCGTCCACAAGTTTTAAGTGGCGGTCCCGGTATGTACCGTGCTCGCCTGCCTGACCGGGCGGCTGGTGGAAACCCTGCCCGCATCTATATGTTTGTGTTGATTGGATCATGAAAGTGCTGCATTCTGCGAAAGACTTGCATTCGATTGTTATTTCATTCGGCTGATGCATCCGTTGGATTTAAGCGTTCTTCTGTGGCTGATTAGCCTTCTTATCCTGGGCCATGATTAGTCGGTTTTCTGTTTTACCTGTTACTGATGGCGTTGCAGTTTTTTAGTCCGGCTCGCTCCCGGATTGTACCCTACAAGTATACAATGCTTACTGGTATGTGAGGCTGCGCTTAAGCACTCGTCCAGAGTGCCTAACTGACGCTCGTCACCAAAGCATGCCAAATGGCGGATCTACTGGTTCGTAGTCGGCCATCGTGGCGTGCGCGGCGTTCAGTGGGTGGCGCAGCAGTGGGGGACAGACGGCGGTCTGCGGGCGACCGCCGGCGCCCTCTGGCCCGTCCGGCGTTGGCAGTGCCGCCTGCTGCCGCTGAGCCTCTGATACGCCGGTACCACGTGTGCCCGGAAGGAGCGGGCGAGCCCCAGCTGGCTGCCGGTGGCCTCCTGTAGCGGCCGTGTCACGCCGCCGCCAGCACTGGCCCGGCCGGCCAGCTGACGGGCTGCTGCGGCCGGCCGCCGGCGCCAGGCCGGCGCGCGGTCCCAGCATAACGCTGAGGTCTGCCGGCGTGAACCGGCGGCTGCCGCAGCGGTGCCGGCTAATCAGCGGCCGGATTTTCCCGTGCCGCCACCCGCAGACAAGCGGTCCGACGGGTGCACGTGCCATCTCCGGACGACACCGGTGTCGGTGGAACAGGCGTCAATGCCGATCTTTATCTGCGGCTCGCCCAGCCGGCGTCTGCCAGTCGCGGTCACCGCTCATGCGGTGCTATTGAAAGGCCGACTGTCGCCCTGCGCGATAGTCGTGGTGATTGTTGTCACCGTACTTTGCGACCTTCCTCGTGAGGATCTTCCTGTCGTGATGTGAATCTTGCGGATGCGTAATAACCGCCGATGTGGCCTCGTCTCAAGCTCGAATAATCGCCATGCGTGTGTCTGTGACGACCTGTGTGGGCGTCTCTCTGGGGAATATTCTTGTGGTGTGTGCGTTCCATGCCGGGTGTTTGCTGAGATAGACGCGTTCTGACCCATCGCTGTGACCATGTCTAACTGTGACGCTTGCATTCCCGTTACAGCAAGCCCTCGCGTGACGTCCTCTTGGGACCAACTTTCCGTGAACAAAGGCCAAAGTAATCCGCGGCTGGGCCAGTTCTCAGTATGCGTGTCTCCATCTACTTCGACTCACTTCTCGGAATGTATCTACAGTCGTTAATTCCCAAGTACCAAGTGAATTGCGATGTCAGTTGGAGATGCCTCAACGTCACGTCGAGTCCAGGTCGCCGAGCTGAACCGGATCGAAGCGTCCTGGTCGAGGCAGAACGTGACCCTACCGGTGTGTGCAGGTGACGCTGACGTGCGGCGAGGAGACACGCGTCCTGGACGTGACGGAGCCGGCCAAGTGCGAGTACCGCTTCTCGGTGGAGACGCCGGCCGTGTGCGAGCGCCCGAGTCCGGAGACGGAGCAGCTGTACCACGACGAGCTGTAGCGCCTTGTCCCGCGCCCGCCGCCCGCTGCCCGCCGCGGCGACCGCAACGGGTGCAGTGTTTTCATCCGGCGGGGTCGCCGCTGTTCTCACGTGCTCCGAGTGGCCACTCTGACCGGGGGATGAGGAGGGGTGTGTGTTTGGAAGGGGGGACCATGGTGGCGGTTCGATCTTGAGGGAGCTGGAGTGTCTGCGTCAGTTCTCGCCCGTGTGCTGTGTCCTGGCTGGAAGGTCGCCCTCCGCTGTCGTGTTCAGTGATGTGATGGGGCTGGTGGTGGCGCCCCAGCCCGAGTGGCACCCCTGCCTGATACCGGCGCCCCTACCAGAGTCGCTCGACATTGTGATGGTCGATGTGGGGGGGGGGGGGGGGGGGGCGATGTGCGACACGTCCGCCGCCCCTGTGGTGAGGGATCGCGTCCTGGTCGTCACGCCCACACTTCGTGCCCGCCGGGTCGCTGGGTCCGGGGTGTGACCGAGCGGCCGCCGTACGGAGCCCAGTCCCAGGAGGAGCGACTGATCCGGTCAGGCTGCTCGGGCGCCGGAAGAGCCCGCGGATTACTCGAGATTTACGCACGCTTCCCGCCGCTCCTGCACGACGTGCCCCGCCCATCACTTCTCGTTTGGGTTGGCTGCCCTCGTCCGGTTTTCTCGTCGCATGTGGGCCGCTTTGTGCGCGTTTGTTTCGTCGGTAAGCGTGCACACGTGTGTCGAGTTGGGTGATGCGGTGCCCGGGCCGGGCGGGCGTCCTCCGACCGCTGGCCGGTCGCCGGTCGACCGCCGACCCGCCGCCTTGGATCGTCGCTACCGCAATACATACTCAGCTGCACGGACCCGTCGCCCTCCGCAAGGCTGACCGTGTGGCCGACAGCCGGCCGCAGGTGCCAGATAAGCTGCTCAGGGCGCCTTCCTCTGGTCGGTAACGCCCATTATCGGACAGTGAAGGCAGAGGCCAACGGATAGTCCGGCTGCTGGTCGAGTCATCTGCCGGCGTCAAGGTCAGCATGCGCTAGATAAATGCCTTGCCGGGTGTCACGGGCCGTTGACAGGTGGCTCATTGCCTTTGACATCAAAACGGCTGGAGTCCTGAAATAACTCGGCAAGGCAGGCGGTCGTCGCAAAGCCAGTGCGGTGGAGCTTACGAAGTGATGGTGCCCGGGTCGGTAGCGGAATTTGATCTGTTTCTATAAGAGCATTGCTGTCATATCCCCAGGTTCGTCACAAGCTTTTTTGCTAGGTCAGAGTAATGAGATATTTTGTCGGAAGCTCGCGAAACATTCCGCTTGCGGTCAATGTCGCCGACTCCGGTCGGACTCTGACCGCTTCCCCGCGGTTTGCGAGGCGACCTTGCCTCGAGCGTGTGGCGGTGATTGCTGGCTGCCCCTGCCGTCTGGCTGCCAGACGGATCCTTGAGAACCCGTTACTCGGCGCTGACCGGCCGGTGGGCGGCGATGGACTGCGCGTTCCGCGGTGCGATCAATGGCGAGATGTCGCTGGGGCGACGAGCGTCCGCTGGCCGACGGTGGCGCCATCTTTTCACTGCGCTCGGGTCGGCCGCCTCCAACCGAGCATACCGCCAGACGCTGTCGCTCTGTATGAAGTAGACGACAGGAGTTTTGTGATAGGATAAAGAGTGGGTCAGCTGTCGGTCAGAGTCGCCATGCTCTGCGCACCTGTTCCGCGCATGGTTCCGCCGACGCTTGTCTGCCATCGACCACTTGCCTGTGAGAGAGGTCACATAGTCCAACACCAGATGACCTCCAACTTGGTATGAGACATCTGCGGGTTTCTACACTGGGATAAAGAAACGATTAAAAATGAAATGAGAAAACCGTATCCAACTTCCTATATGATCTAGCAAAAACCATGATTTGTGATTCAAGCCTGCACAGCTTTTTCCAATATTGACTGAGCCATTTGACGTTCACTGTGTCTGGAAATCGTGTTCAAGGACGCCAGATCTGAACGGCTTGGCGACAGGATTCTTTCTGACCTTGATCGCCGCTTGACTAATGGAATGACAGGATTTCAATGACGTTGCATATGACGTAGTGCATGTCTAAATGACCTTGAAATAGTTTGCACGGAATAATCTGCACACCTTTGCGGGCGTGTAGCTCAGTAACTTGAGGGATTTTAGGTCTTACGACGGGCAGAGTTGTGAACTGCACCGAATGCTCTTGAAAATGTATATTTCAGTTCAAAATCCCATAAAAAATTTGGAACGCCACCTTTAAATGTCATTTGGTCTGGCGTGACCAACAAGAAAACGTGCAGCACACATCGTTTTAAGATCCGTTCATAACTTTAAGCCGCTGTGGTTAAACGATGATGACTTTGTCGCGGGTGGGGCATCACCGTGCAGCTCGGTTCAAGTTGTAACATACAACCGTCATCTTCTTTCATAAAAATAGACATTGCCCTGTCAGCTTTTTCGGCTTGTTCGACTTGATCAATATCCTCGGACAAACTGGTCTGGCCCTGATGCGACAGATGCTTTGTGGCTAAGTGGCGCTTCACGGAATCTGTTTTTCAGCGGCAGCGCCCGGTCTGGGAGGGGAGGGGGAGAGGTGCATACGTCGTTGTCCAGTCGATACAAATCGGACCTCATATTGAATTATGAATGAATGACGTTCAAAAATAGTCCATGAGCAACGGTGAAACGTGTCGCGATTCCCCAGCGATGCAGCCTTGTTAGGAGGTTGACTGTTTCTTTAATGTACGGGGTCGGGTCGATGCGTTCTTTTATTATCCGGAGGAAGCCACGTGCTCGTCGCGTAGCGTTGTAGTTCAAGTCGTTTCCAAGTTAACAGTTCATGATAACAGCTGCCGCAGTAAATCACCGAATGAAACCCGGATTGCACCGCGCGCATGCGCGAGAGATAGTCCCAGTAGTCTCATTACTATAACGCACACAGCTACTTTTTGGGGGCAACGGGGTTGCGGGAAAGCAGACGCATTGGATCGTAATATGTCTACCTCATGTCTTGCACAATCGAACAGCGCGCTTTTGTATTCGTCGTCACATTGTACTGCCTGCGATTTATTTCCGTGCTTGTCTGTTGCATTCGTAGCCTCAGACGTAGAGGTAACTATCACATTGTGAAGTGGTCGCAGAAAGATGCAGGTTCGTAGGACTTCTGATAATGTCGTACGCATAGGTGTAGGAACGTTTCAAAAAGTGGGGGGGGGGGGCAAGCTCACGGTGTCATACAGGAACTTTTTCTGGAAAGCGAGCCCCATGACCGGGGAGGTGGAGGGGGGGGGGGGGGGGTGGAGGTTGTTATCGCCCTTCATTCAAATGTCATGGCTGCTGCGTTAGATATGCATCTAGAGCTGTTTATCACTGGTGCACAATCTTGCCTATTCGACTCATCTGTCATTTGGCAAATAAGGCTATCCAGCTTCCATAGATTATTCTTCCATTTTAACATTGTCTTTCCTGGGGGGGGGGGGGGTGAAATTCCACGAGCGCGTAGGTATTGTGGGTCATTAAAGAGGCATCTGCCTCCACAGTGTAGATGCCTAAATATGGCCCGGATGTAGGCTGGTGAGAATTTTGAAAGTGGATCGATGGTTCACAGTGCGACAGATTTTTCATGCGCCTTCATTTCGCTGGTTGCTTTTCAAGAGATAAGACTTGTCGCACCATTTTAGGCGGAAACAAATTCGGGAGCTTTAAACTGCTAGAAACAATGTGATAATAGCCATAAAACTGGAAATCCTCTTCTAAGAATCAAGCCACAAAATAAGGTCCATCTGTCACATGTTCCTAATCTGGGCCCTGCTCCTGTCCGCGGTGGGTGACCACTGCCCTGGCCCGAATGCCTCCCGCATGACTGACTGCCAACTGATCGTATGGCTGCGCTGCTGCATACGTTTGGACCAGTGTTACTGCTACATGGTGCATCAAATGCGTGTTGGACGCCTGCAACAGCATCTGTTTCCGAATTATCTTCCCTCACGCCACACCATCGCAGAAAAATAGCGTCCGGGGAGCTGTCTGTTTTATGTATGAATTGGCCCAACGGACACTTCATTGCACATCATGTAACGTATGCGACTTGATTTGCTTTTGTGTGTAGGCAGGGGCGTAGCCAGAGCCTTCCCAAGAGGGAACATAAGGTTGACAAAAGCCCAACTTGTGGTGATCCCGCCCCCCCCCCAAAAAAAAATCCCTGGATCTAGCTTACTTGTTAACAAGTGACATTTTTTTTCGTTTTATTGTTATTTTTACCTTGTAACCAGAACAGAAACCAGGAGCCACCGTGGGCTCAATTCTGTTTGCATTTTGAGGTCAACAAACTGCAGATATCAGACGTTGAACCACTGCATGGAAGAAATCACAGGCGCTATTGATTTACAATGGTTAGTTAGTTGACTCTTTCTAAACCGAGAGAATTCAGAAGCTTTGTCATTTTTTATCTGGGTTCTACAGACATTGAGGACATCGCGAAGGTAGATTGTAGATCGATATGTTTGATCCCAATCTGAAGATGAAAATCTGATTGCAGATCGAGTGGTCAACAATGTGTATTAACATGGTCAAGCCATGTTTGTCTGAAAATGTTCACCATTCAGTCAGAGTCGATAAGCGATGCAATTTATACAACGTATTTTTTTTAGCATGCGCGCTCGCAAACCGTAGCAACAAAAACCTCGACGCCAGGCGTTGCAGTCTCCGTGGTCCGCGGAGCGTTAGCCCAACAGTTAATATTTAGCCGTGGCCCACCGGTAGACGAAAATGATAACGCTTCTGACAAGATTACATTTAAACACTTTAATCAACTAGTGAGACAAGTTATGTGACGTAATTTTGAGCATGCGCACTCGAAAATTTTAGAAACACGAGCCCCGACCCCAGGCGTTGCAGTCTCCGTAGGCTGCGCAGCGTCGGTCTAGCAGCAGATATCAAGCTGTGGTCAACGGGTGGACGAAACGGTGGACGCTTCTGGTAAGGTATCCTTGGACGCGTCATGACATCAGATCTTGTATTTAGAAGGCAGCCTGAGCGCATATTTCACGTGTGCAGTTCTTAGACTGATGAAAAGAACGGATTGGCCCCTAAAGCACCGCGAAGTGGGGCTGAAATGTTGTGGTTGAGCTGGAAAAGTGAAGGTAAAATCTCTCTTTTCGTGTTTTCGCAGCTATTTATCTGTCCGGAAGGCAGATTAATACGGCGCCCGCTGTCTGGTGCCACTTGCAGCGGCCGAAACTTTTTGGTTTTACGGAAGTTGCAACCCAGACCATCCTTGTCTTTGCTCTCGAGGTTGTGGGCGGGAATGTTCAAGCCTTTTGATGTAATTCGCTTCAATAATACATTCTGACAAATGAACGCTTTCAGGCAAACATGGCATGGCCTTGCTGTTTTTTTTTCAAATTCATTTCGACTGTTCGAAATATACAGCAGTAATGAGGTCCATACAGTACGTAACTATAATGAGACCCCTTATTTCCTTCCGGGCAATGGGCCCCTGGAGAAAAGCACCAGGGGCACATTATTGTTCCCGGTCAAGGGCTGAAGGGCCATTCCGTCCCATCGCGAAGTGTCTTTTGACTGTCATTCTGGCGACACGGGGCGGGATATCCTGGTCGATCCGGAGGCCATTAGAAGGATATATCACATCACATTGTTCTCATCCCTGACACGGGAGGCCTTCCGACCCGCGCAGTTAGCCCCGGATCAGAACAGGAAACCTCATTGACGCAACAACATCCCTGATCACCGCAGGCAGTCCGATAGTTCCCACATAGACTACAGTTCCTTGTTTTTCTGCGTTCTTCAGAGATATTGAGTTCTCCTTGACTGTAGGTCGTAGATGAAATGGGGTTC